ACATAGATGTAATTCATTGAATCTTCATTGTTGTTGTGGTTGAGTTTGTTCCATAGATGTGTTTTCAATGTCAATTAGGGGCACTCTTCTAATCCATGGAGCTGAATAAAAAGGTTTGTTGTTTGTATAGAGCATCAAATTGTTTCCCTCTTATATATATTTAGCATCCGCCCTAATTATTGTCTTCGTCACAAACAATTGTCGTCTTTATAAAAATGTGAAACGTTTCGTCTCAAGTTTTCGGTGTTAAGATTAGCGAGTTTCTGACATGACTCGTGTATCTTATGTTGCCTTTTTAAAACATCAGTAAATCAAGTCATCAACGGGACGAGAGGCGTCCTAACAACGAGTAGTTTTATTTTGGCATCACTCATGATAATACGGGAACAATCTTGGTTTTTGAATTATAATTTTTAACGTAATTTTTAAATATATAAATTTTACTGTATTTTTTAATATAGTCTAGATTTTCAAATAGATTAATTTGAAATTAGTTTAGATCAAACATTATAGACAATAACAAATAATTTACAGTGGAAGGAAGAGAAACCAAACTTGACGGTATTAAGGGTAAACAAAATGTTCAAGAGTCAATTAGAGACGAGATTTAATAAAAGTCAATTTTAATACTCCACCGTCCGGAAGAATTTGTTCCTTCCTCTCTCCATTATTGACGCGTCAAAGTCAAGGGTCAACAATTCTGACTTGTGATTGAAATTATTTTTAAATCATTTTTTATAAAAAACAAAATAATAATTACATACTTAAAAACATTTGATTCAACAACGTAAGATGTAACATTATGCATCAACTTAGTGTTTAAAATTTATTCTTAATTATATTGAATTTTTGTAGTACGATTTTTACAATTTTTACCACGATTTGCTTTAGAAACATATTAGATTGTGATGAATTTATCTATTTCAGAGTGTGTAAAAATACTTCTTTTTTTTTTCACTATTCCGGGTAAAAATGCTTTATCTTTTACCAGGATCAACTTCTAGATTTTCAAAAACTAGTTCTATACGGGGCCGAGCATTTGACTACCCAGGGAGCACTTTGACTAGGTGAATCATCGGTAAATGCTCTGTAGATTTTCTTTTGACCGAGGAAAATTTATCCATGGGCCATGGCTGAAAGGGGAAAAAAAAAGAGAAAAGAAGATAATGTAGTCTTATTAAAAGGATATTTTAGTCTTATACTCTTATCTACCAAATTCTCTCATACTTTCTTCGTCCCAAAAAATAATACTCCCTCTGTCCCTATTTAATCACAACACTTTGATTTGCACACACTTTTAGAAAGTAGGTAAAAAGTAATTTTTTTCCAAGAATACCCCCACCCACCCCTCCAAAAGAAAAAAGCAAAGGCAAAAAATAAGGGAGAAAGGGGAGTATTTAATTAAAGTAAACATCACATCATAGTCTTAAAACCAGGGGTATAATAGTCTTAACATAACAATTTACTTTCCATTATTAGAAATGTGGTGAATATTTTGGGACGGATGAAAAAGGAAAGTGTGACAAATATTTAGAGACGGAGGGAGTACATATTTGACTCGGAACAAAACTTATAAAAAGTGAACTTGTGGTGGAAAGTAATAGAGAAAAAAAGAAAAAATATGATTCATAAAAATTATTCCAAATATAGAAGGATGATTTTTTGGGATGTCTGGATTATTATTTCAGGAGGGAGTGAATATGATACGGAGAAATTGATAAAAAGTTGGGGACTTTTGTGACCCATCACCCCATGTTGTGTCTACCACAATCACAATAGAATTTAAAATAGAGTAGTGATAACTCAATTCGATAGCGGAGTATAAAACATTTAAATCATACTTCGTATAATATTAGTTTTTTTGTGTCATTTACCCCAAACTCTTTGAAAATTACGTAGATTCTTCTTGAGTTTTAAAAATTATACAAATGGTCATTGAATTTTTAAAAATATAATATCAATAGCCCCTCTGCACCATATTTGGGAGTGCGATAATCACATGCTCATCCAGTACAACTATAGATTTATCTAAAATTATATACTCCGTATCACACACGAGTTCTGCGACAAACATTATCTTTTATATTTTTAACCTACTGAAATCCTAAATAATTAGGGCACTGGAAATACCCATGAAGCCACGGGGCTTCAAACCTTCTCTCTCTGTCACGTTTGCTTTAACTTACCTCATAGTTTCAGTGGAAATGGGTTTGAAGCCCCAGGGCTTCAAACGGGGGCTTCAAACCTTCATTTTTTGCATTTTAAATACACATCTTCTAAAATTAAATTAATTAAATTTAAATATTTAATTACTTAAAAGAATTGAAACGAGAATAGTTAATTAAAAAATTGCATTCATTATAAAAAATTACATTCATTAAATAAATAATTACATTCATGAAAAGAAACTTGAATAATAATTTTTTAAAAAAAGATGATAGATAGAGAGAAATTTGTATTTGTGTTGAATTTTAAAAAAGAATTAATTTAATTTATAGAGAAGAAAAGAGGAAAAAAGAGGGAGAAAAAAGAAAAAAAAGGCGTGATAACGGCTCCAAATTGCGTCAAAACTTTGACGTGGGAGTTTTAACGCGCCTATAACGGGGGAGGGGGGCGGTGTTTAACGCCCCCCAGGCGTCAAACGGAGCATAACGTGGGTGGGCGTTATGCCCATTGCCACTGCTCTTACTATCACTTTAGCCATCGGTAATCAAACTCGAAACCCGAACCTCAGTCGATCAAACTCTTCATTAATCGATAAACCCCTTTATTAATACATGACACCTTCATCAAGCTCCAAGCCTCCAACATGTATATTAATGAACGTGTGACTAACACACTATCAAATTTGGGACAAAAAGACCATTGGTGTAATGTTTTAAAAGTTTAAAGGTCATTGGTACAATGTTTATAGTTTAGGAGAAATCTACACAATCTATTGTATATTATATTAAAAGATTAAATTCACTCTAGAACTTTATCACGTAGTATCTGTTAAAAATAATATCACCCTCTCCAGCACAAGAGTAAGATCCGAACATTGGATATAAAAAATTTTGGAATAACTTGCCACTATCATCACTTCCACATTATTTATTTGTAAGACTTTTGCTTTGAAAAAAAAGGATCCAAACTATTAAATGAATTTGGTTCAAGGTTAGCTGAGCTTTGTCGTACTACAATATTTGTCATTGAGATTACGTAAGCTTTGCGTTTAGTTGACTCCATATACGGCAGTTAAAGTGTAAAACACAAAACAACAAGCAAAAGTTTAATGAACATCCGTTACATAACGTCAGCTTATTCAATGAAAATGAATCGAATCACTAAGATCCCATCTTCCAATCCAACTCAATATACCCATTTCAAGAAAACTTACTAAGAAAAATTATGATTTTCGTGATAATCAAAAGTTAAACAAATAGTCATAATGTATATATATTCATTCAATTTTTAATATATCACAAAGGTTATAATTACTCCGGAGGGGGTATTGGTTAAATATAAATTAGAGTACCTTATAATCCCCATTCTTTCTATCTACTCAAAATGTGCAAATGGTCAACACAACCAAACCCTTTGATCACTTTTGTAAGAGTTCATCTACAAGTCATCAAGTGTTGGATACAACTCATTGACATTTGTTCCAACAAACTGAAACCTCAGATTGGTCACTTCATTAGTTCATTTCATGGGATATTGGGGGGGGGGCACATTGGGAATTAGAAGGTTGTTTTTTCGGGAGGGTGGGACGAATTTGCGCATCCAAACATGCTTACCATTGATGGTGAACTTGGCCATGTGGTTGCCGTTGAGGATGAAGTCAATGGCGGCAGGGTTGAAGAAGATGATGCGGGCATAGAGAGGCTGATGCGCCTGAGGTGGCTTCACCGCCTGCATGTGGACCGACTCGATGCAGTCTCCCAACACCTCAGTAAAGAACCCTCTGATTTCCTGCTCGGACACCGGATACCCCTTTGAAAAGGTGGCAAACATTGTCCTCCCCTCTCGCGGAGGCGGCACCACCATCAGATCTTCCAATGCCTTCACACAAACTTCAGCCACCACCTCCTGGACCCCACGGGACGCCTCCACCCTGTTGTCCAGTAAAAATTTGGGGGAAAACCGTTCTCCGACAGTCTGTTGAGTCAGGGAGATCTCACAGCATTGCAATGTGGCATCTTTGTTGATGTACTTGAGGCAAGCCATGGCTTCGACAGCAAGTTCTTTGATCAGGTTTCTGGGTAATGATAGCACCTTTTGCACGACGTTGTTGAACCCGGTTCTTTCCAGCCAAATCCACAAGGCTATTGTTTGTACAGATTCAAAGGGGTCGTGCCCAAGCTCAAAAACTAGGATCGAGTACACTTTTCTATCAATAGTGTGGAAATTCCTGAACATCTCGTCAGTGATTTCACACCGTGAAGCCCCCATGAATGTTCTGGAAATTAAAATAGACAAAAGGGAGGCAAGGCATGAAAAAACAATACAATGCAAGCAGTGTCAAATCAAAACGATCGCAATAACGCGGTAAAGTATGATGTAAATTACACTTAAACAACAAAAACAACAAGCATAGAATAATCCTAGAAGTTCATTGGAAGTACGAAGCGAGAGAAGTTCAACATGGCATTTCAATTTAGTCCATGATCTACCGGAAGCTAAAACATTGTCAAAATGACTCTTAAAGCTCCATTAGCAATGGACAAAGTAAAGTGCATTTCTAAAAGAAAAAGAAAAAACAGTTGAAACCTGAAAGGGCCTCCAGGGAAAGATGTGTGTGTTCAGAATTCAAATATGCACAGAGTAGAGGTTGGTCTCTGGTGGCACTCTAAGATAGTATAGTGTGAGTGTGAGTCATGAATGTAGAACAAAGATAAAGAGGAGCTATTGTAGTTTTATAAGCATTCCAAAGACCAACCATCTTTAGTAGGTAGTAATTAATGATTTTCGGACAGTTCCGAAGCATCAAAGACCATATGCCCTAACCATGGTTTAAAAAGTAATAATCAGGGGCAGTTCAAGGATTTTGGTCCAGTTTATGATATACTCAAGTATTTACTCTTTTTTTCAGATTGATTTCTTCAAAATTTAGCAGAAGAAAGCAACCAGGGGAACCAAGTTCAAAGGATTGGCATAAAAAAAGTTATGCAAGACTGAACCCATATAAGCCTGGAAGCCTGCATTGCCTGACTTTCACAAGCTCTGCCAGGTCAGAAATGCCAACTCAGCCCCAAATTGCGAAATGCTTATGCTTGCAAATTGTTGGTATTTAGTAGTAGTTTTCCTTACTACAAGGACAAAAGAAAAGGCAATAATAATGTGAAATACCTCACAGCCAGCTAAATACACTGTGATATCAGTGAACAAAGCCCGCATTTTCAAAACATCCTCCATTACCCCTTTAGGTTTAATACATACCTTGAGTAGATGCTTACTCATTTTGGTTGCGTAATCAGTCCCTTACAGCCACATATTGTTTTCCATTTGTGACTTAGAGGGCCCCTTAGTTGTTTAAGTGATCACGCTAACTGCACCAAGAAATAAACAAAAATTCTGCCAATCATCTTCGGGTTAGAGTAATCCACCGCCAAATAAGAGATCAAATTCACGGAAGAAAGGGAATTGTATTCCAAATGAACTTATATATACAAATACAACAGCCAAAGGCAAAAAGAAGAAGCTAAAACTGTTTACAAGTAGACGATGAAATTACATATGAAAGGATGGTGATGATGTACATGACTTGAGCAGTGAATAACTGGATACATAGCTACAGCATGCTGTAAAAGCACTAACCAGATAGGAAAATATTCCCACCTCCATGAACATCTAGAGTACATATATTAGTTTCATAGGTGACACAAAAAAATGGAACTTTTATTATGCTCTATTCCTTTGTGCCAGTGAGGTTGAGAGTTCCATCTCCAACACCTTGCAGATCAAACAAGGAGAAAGAACGCCAGCCACAGAACTTCTGTTTAGGAGTAGGTGGGGAGGAGGACTCAACGCCACTTCTCCGTGCTTGGGAAGGAAGAGGAAAACGTTCCTGAGTTGCAGCTAGAGCCAAAGAGCTTCTAGAGTTGGTAGGTCTCTTGTATAGGCCACCACCACTGTTTTGATTATGATTCTTACTAAAGAAGTTGTTATGAGCAAGCAAGTTTTTGCGCTTTCTTGTGTATGCGTTCTCTGGCTTGACAATGTCATTGAGAGAGGAAGAAGAAGCTGCATGTGATAAACTTGTAAAAGATTTAGATTTGCCAGCATAGAAGTTTGATATTCCTCTCCTGAAAGAAAGAAAAATAACACCTGATGAAATGAAGCAAACAGAAATTTCCTGTTTCTCAAAATATAATGTATAACCTAATAAAAGCAAACTTAGATGTTCATATAACAAATGATTGGAACAAAGGGTCACATCTATTGGAATCTTAGACAAAATATGAAGCAGAGACACTTTTAGATGTTCATTGCAGTCCATTTAAGCTTTGAAAATAAGGTAAGATTCTATAGCTCATAGCTTTAGATGCACCAGACCGATCGAGCTCTGCCAAACCCACAAGAACAGTCCAGATCGATCAATATCTACAGGAGACAAAAAAATGATTGGAAAAGGTGATAATCAGGAAAAGACACCAGTAGAAGATTGATACATTTAAAGTTCAAAATAGGTTGACTAAATTTCCTTTTATCCCTTTCACCCCACTCACTTGTCACAGAAATATACATGTTTACCTTAATTAAGGCTCTATTAGCATTTTCATGGAAAAGTATTGAATGCCTACTCCAAACAGTTAGCTAACTTTTCATACAAGAAATCTAATACTCCTATGTAACATCAAACCCCCAGCAAGAAGAAGAAGAAGAAGAGCGAATTATCGAATCTCTGCACAAGATCTGATTCCAAAAACACTAACACTAATACTCCAAGTACCAAAACAGCGCATCAAATCAGGACTGCATAATATATTCACACTCAGAAAACACAAAGTTCATATAAAGGCCGGTGAGAAACGAGAAACGAATCAAATCCACATACTTAATTGGCAAAACCTCCTCCAGAGCCTCCAGACTGTCCAGAACTCCGCCTTTGAACGAGCTCTGCACTTCCTCTCCATCTCCGTCCGCCGCATCCAGGGACCTCCCGACCTGCAGATCGTCACTGTTCCTGCCAATAGACGAAGTGCACGACGAGGTCTGCTCGTCGGAATCCGCCTCCTTCGCCGCAAATCCACCGTCTCCGACCGAAAACTCCGGCGACTCATAGATCGGGATGCACTTCATCCCGTGCACGAATCCCGACCGTTCGATCCCTAGATCGACCGAACTGTTTCCCTTCAGCGCAATCGACATGGTTTCGCTACTGTTAAGCACGAGCAAGACGATACATACAGAGGGTATACATATAACCTATAGATACAAGATACTGTAGAGATAAATGGGTCATTGGATAGAAATTACAGGGAGGGAGAGAGAGATCCTTATCTTTAAGAAGACAAAGATTATCATTTTATTTTATTTTATTTAGCGCAAGTTGGATATATAAACAGGATTATCGTGTGCATTAAACTTTTAAAATGTTTTTCTGCTGTTTTTAGAGCGATTATAGAGTGCGTGCAGGTGCACGAAAGTGGATGTGTTGCCTTATAATCTGGACCGTTGAGTGTGGGGCAGGGGCAGTTGCATGCGTCCCACGTTGAAGTGATTTCCACTCAAAAAAAAAAAAAAAAAGAAACTAAAAATTCTTTGACAAGATGATGTTTTATGATGGACTTGATGTATCTCGATAAATCGTTGGGTGTAAATAAAAATATGTTTAAAATTAAAATATTAAGAATCTGAATCGCCTGCCTCCATAACACTCAGTCACTCATCTCCTTTTATTCTTTTATACTTCCTCTGTTTCAAATTAAATTGTTTGTTTATTATTTATGGAGTCAAACTTTAGTCTAATTTCTTTCTATCTCTATTTTTGCTAGTCATTTGACAAAAATAATATAGTCATGTCACTACTAGTTTTATAGATCTTTTGGTATAGTTTGGTATGGTTCTTATGTATATAGGCGATTAAAATTATGACGGAGGAAGTATTTTTTTTATTCATTTCAATTAAAATTGGTTAATACAAAAAACATTAAATGAATATTTCATTAGTATTAAAATTTGAAATTATATTGATATAATGCGATAAGAATCTGAATCGCATGCATTGTCACTGAATCAACCACAAAAAGAGTCCCAGCTTCATCGAAATTGAAGGACATTCACTTTTTGAGAAGATATTATAGATGGTGAAAATTTAAAAAAAAAAAACTAGTAGAAATTATGGATTGATAGTGTGAAGTTGAAATACGAATATAGGTTTAAACAACAGGAAAAAAAGAAGGAATACTAGTCATTATTACAATGACTAGTTGGGAGGGAGGAGGCTGCGTGATGCGCATCCATACCGCATGGTTTAATCATGTTTGATTTGTTTTTAATTAAAATTAAAATTAATTTTGATCTCATCAAGTATATAAAAACAAGTAGTACTCCGTAAGTAGTAAAAAGAAGTTAAAAAGAATATGCTCACACTAAGGGCCTCTTCTTCTACTCAACTCGACCTGATAAACTTTGATATAAAATTATTAACTTTAATTTAATGTGATAAAAATATTTTTTATTCCAACTAAATTTGTACCCGGTATATGTTTGTGATATTTTCGATACAATTGGGGGTATTCTTGTTGACAACTTGGCATAAAAAAAGCCAAATATGAAAAAAATCATATCACAAACACTAGTAACAGTTGTTTGATTATGTCAAACCACTAAACCTATCCCTAAAAGTGGTTGATAGATACTTTACCAAACATCCTCCTCGATTATGTTTAATTTTATGGCTCTTTATGAATATCCGAATATCCTCTTTATTAATTAGAATTATAATTTTGAATAATTGACTTTCCTCTTAGCTTTGGTTCTCAACAAGAGTAAAGGCATCGACTCATTTTGTCATCTCTGCAACATTAGATTGAGAAAATATAAACAATATTACATTACAATCAAGTTAACAGTATTCAAAAAAATTGTAAATAATTGTTAGTGGTACAAAAAATAAGTACTTATAAATATTAATCCGTAAAATTATATTCTACCTCAAAGACAAAAACTATATGGTCCAACAAATTATAATCGCGGTAGCCCTCTCAAATTGGAGATTGTAGGTTCAAACCTCCGGGTAGACCATATCCATTTAGTAGATTTGAAAAATATATATTTAAACAAATACTACATTATAATAAAAAAAATTAATTTTGAAAAAAATATATTTAAACATTGGTGTTAGATCACCTTTGAGTAATAATTGAGGCTAAGAAATGAAAGAGTGGATAATGGAAAAGAGATCATAATGGTGGGCCCGGCAACAGAGACTGCATTGTTTGTCCAGATTAAGGAAAGATCGCCCCAATCTCCAAACTAATTATGGGCTTAAAAAAGACTGCACTATTAACCTAATGGCCCACCCGTTTTGACTTGGACTTTAAGCCGCGGAGGAGATAAGACTCGAGTGCCTGCGACCTCCGAAAATAAAAGTTCTTCGGATTTCATTGGTTCTGATTTGAATATACCAAATATTGATCGGTCTAAAATTATCTAATGGTATGTTTGAGAATATGGATTTGAATTTTAAATACAGATTTGGCTCGAATTTTATGTTTGGAAAACTTAGAAAATTAGAATTTGTAAACTAAAAATGCGACTTATCTGATCTTATTCAAATAAAAATAAGTAATACATAGAGAAAAAAACTGAAAAAGAACAGGCCCTAAGGCCTTCTTGTCCTCACCTTAATTTTTCTACTTATTATATATTTTTATTAAAATTAAGACAGAATCAATCAATATTATCATTGCATTACACTATAAATCTATAATAGTCAGAGACCACACCTTAAAAAGTAAAGATTAGACAAAAAAACTCAATTTATGTGCACGGATAGAAATTTAGTAAGTCAATAGAAATGCACGCAAAAGACATAATGTGTAGGGCGTGGTGGGTAGCATTCACAAGTCACAACTACTCCCATGTCCCAATTTAAATCGTCTGTTTCTATTCACAATATTTAATTAAAGTTATTTTTAAATTATTTTATATGAAAAATATAGTATAATTAAAAAAAATACATATTTAAAAACTACATTAAAAGATCTACAAAATTAGTGTTGACGTGATTATATTATTTTATCAAATAACTACCAAAAATAAGGAAATAAAGTAAATGAAATTTGACCCTCTGAATAGTAAATATGCAATTTAATTTGGGACGGAGAGAATATTTATTAGTTATTCCTATTAAAATTGGATCAGAAAACTTAGATTAAATCATACAACATTTTAAAGTTTAAATTAAATCAGATTAGATCCATTCATATTAGACTAAACCATTCAGATCAAATAAGAAAGAAAGAATCGGAATTTATCAGTTGAATTTGTGTTTAATCTCTTTTTGGGTATTTAATTATTTGTTCTCTAAGGAATTTCAAAAGGACCATTACTGGACAGTTCCACAGTCCACCAATGGCTAGGCTTTAAATTATGAAGACCACAGTCCAATTATTGAAGGATGCACTTCTCGATTCCGACACGTTTTTTTCATCTTTTTTTTACGTATTTTTTCTTCTTTTAAATGTTTAAGAAAAATATTTTAAAAATAAATATTTAAAATATATTTCAAGGGGAGAGATATTATAAGTTGGGATGGATTCATGTGACATTGGAGTTCATGTCAAAGCATGAAGAAAATCACCTTAAATAACATTAAAACACATAAAAGTATTAAAATAAGAATTTTATTTTTATTATCTAAATAAGAGTACGCATTCTGATAATATGACATTATGCATGTACATTTTACTATACTTTTTGGTAATGTACATGGTCATGACTCATGAGTCATGATTGGTAATGTAAATATATTTTAGAAATCATCCTAGATAGGACTAAAACATAGAGAAAAGTACCAAAATAGGACTTTCATATTTTTTTCCCGGAATAGGACTTTGCACTGTGGTAATGTGAATTTGCATTGTGGTAATGTGGCAGTGTGCATGTGCAGATTACTATACTCAATGGTCTTTGTTCTGCTCTTGGATAGTAGTCACATACTCAGTATTCCCCCCAAATTAGATTTGCCAACTTACAATATGTGATTCTAATTTTTTTGTTTAACTTATTTGGATATTGATGTGAAACTAAAAAGTAGTGAAAAGGTGGGGAGGGCTGGGGACTACATTAGCGCAATTAAAACATAGGAGAAGAAAATTGCACAACTACTATAATTTTGTAGGAACAAAAGTGAAATTAACCCTACCCTAATAACCCATTTTTGCTAACTAGAAATTGCTCTATATATAGTAGCAATAATCACTACCTAACCACCACTTATGACTATGTGCCCGTTACGCAACAACTTCAACATTTTGAAAAAACTAAAGCTAATTGAAAACAGTGTTCCCAAACAAGGCCATCTATCTTGATAAAATAGAACTCACTCAATGTTAGATGTATAATATTACTTAATAAACACAACATTACAGCAGAACTGTCAAGTGGGATAAGGTAATGAACCAAAGCTTACATACTTGTTCATGGAGTTCTTTCAGGAGCTAAGATTCCCTCACGTGGTTGGACTTTGGGTTCTTAGAGAGCTCGCTTTCTTCTGCAACTCAAAGTTTGATTTCCGTTCGGCCTCTAATGCGCGCTCAAGCTTACCAGGAAACAAAACGACCGTTGAAATATTTAATTACGAAAATGCGCATTCTTTTTGTCAAAATATCACAGAGATCAAATGAATAATGCACTTACTTTGGCTGCTCGGCTGCTCCATTCCCCCAGGATTGCTCTGAGCCTTTCGTTTTCTTCCACATACTTCAGAAATCACAACATAAAGAATGAATGCCTTGGGAGATGTTGGTGTGTTTGTAAAAATTCTTTGTTTTCTGATTTTCGTATTTCGTTTTTACTTCTATCAGTTCTATGCAAACAGGAACTAAAAAGACGTGTTTGAGAGTGGTGTTTTTGGTTTCTGAATATACAACGAAACACGCAGTATAATCCAACAAAAAGTAGGATCTGGTGTTTTGTTTTCGGTTTCTGAATATAAAAATGGAATTTTGGAAAGTAATGGAAATATGAGTTTATTGTCCTCATTGTCCAAAAATATGTTTCTGATTCCGAATATCAACAACAATATTTCATATTTTTTAATAAAAACTGTATCTTGTCATGATAAATACGGAGTGATAATCAATGGGATATGTAAAACAGATCCCACAAACATGCATGTCTGTCGGCAGAAATTTCAAAACAAAACAACGCTTTTAAACATACAAGACATAAAACATGAAAGTTGTTGAAGCTGTTAACCAGTACATGATGTCAAAAAACAATGCTGAAGAACGTATTTACTATAGTGCAAGTACCATATGTCAATCAGATATGAGATTATGAGCTATAGCTTGGTTGGTGATATACACACCACTGAATTTTTAAACATGATTAAATGTTCTGGTGTTCCCAACCATGAAATATGACTTAAGGTAGGAATACCCATAATGCTACTGCGTAATATTGACCATGGTAATGGTTTGTGTAATGGAACAAGACTCATTGTTACAAGGCTTGGAAATAGGGTGCTTGAAGCTAAACTTATTACTGGGAGGAATGCAGGTGAAAAGATTTTGATTCCTAGGATTTCATTGACATCATCTGATACAAGGCTGCCTTTTAAGTTTCAAAGAAAACAATTTGCAATCATGATTTCATATGCAATGATCATAAACAAGAGTCAAAGACAATCACTTTCCAAGGTTGGAGTGCTACTGAAAAAACCAGTTTTTCGTCACGGACAATTGTGCGTTGCCGGGTCCAGGGTTAAAAGTCGTTCCGGGTTGAAGATTTTAACATGTAATGATGAAGATAAACCTGAGTTTGAGACCACCAATGTTGTTGATAAAGAGGTCTTCTAGAATATTTGATAATTATTTATTACGTACACAAATGATTAGACATTGTCATTGTTAACTAAAATCCCTTACCAAGTATATTTGAAAATTCAGTACACTATTACTCCCTCCATCCTAAAACGTTCTTCCCAGTTACTATTCACACGGTCAAACTTTAAGCACTTTCTTTACCTATTTTCGTTAGTTATTTGATAAAATAATATAGTATTGTCACTTTTTGTTTTGTAGAACTTTTGATGTAGTTTATAAATATATAATTTTATTTTTTAATTTTTCACCTACAATCAAATAAATTGAATTGAAAATAAAGTCGATCAAACCTTCTAAACAGAAACAGGAAGAACGTTTTAGGATGGAGGGAGTATTAAATTTAAAGATTATTATACGTAGCCATATATGTTATCTATATTCAATGATATTATATATAGCACATATATACTATATTTCTTCATATTATTTAATCTAAACTTTAAAAAATTAAGTTTTAAATAATCTAATTTTAGAAAATAACATGATCCCGTGCAACGCACAGGTGAAATACTAGTTACCAATTAAATAATGCTAAAACCTTACCTGATTGTTTGTACTGCGCACACGTTGAATCTCAGCATCCTTCTCAGCAATCAGTGATCGAGCAAGCCTTAACTCAGATTGCATTTGATTCATCTGAAGAAACACAAGGGAATGCTCATATACGCAAGAACATATACGCAAGAAAGGCATCACTATGCATCGGAAACAAATGCTGGATTCTTCGAAGACAAAGAGAAAAAGTGAAGGCCAAATCCATTTTGAACAAGAGAAGAGAAAGACCAATACGCGTAAGGTCTGCATACACCCCCACCCCCTAGACATCACTAGTGGAATTTTACTAAGTTTGTTGTTGTAGATGATAAAGACCAATAGTAATGAGTAGAAAACAAACACATGCACTAAAATTTTACGTTAGATAACCATTGATTGAACACTATAGTTGATGACTCGATGTTCAACTGTGGAGCAATCACAATGGAGGAAGAAAAAATCATCCATATGAACTTGTTGGTAAAAAAAACTTTTCCTTGGCACGGGATTTAACAAAAGTCAAAAAATACCTCAGCTGAAATTGTGCGTAACTCCTGATCACGAGTAGCTAACAGATGGGCAAGATCAACCTGGAAGAGGAAGAGTCACTATTATGCACTTTTATTGTGAAGGAACACAATAACACAATAACATTTGCACTTTTATTAAGAAGAAACACAATAACAAACTAGGGTGGAGAAGTTTGTTCGTGGATCCAAGATTCCAAGGTGTGTAGTACTAGAGGCAAGCCTACTGCCTGCGTATTTCAAGACCAATATCGATGTTGTGTGTGTGTGTGTGCAGATTCCTTGCACCCAAATTAAGATAAGCCTAGGTTGTCAAGATATTGTCCTATGCTTATTTGAGAAGCTAGAGGACAAATGGGCATCAATGCAAAAAGACACATCACGACATGGGGAAGAAGACAATTACCTGAGGTGCACTCCCATCATTCGATCCTTCATATTTGCTTAAACATTCTTGTAATCTAAGAATCTACAAATGAAAAACACTGATTAGGGTTGTGTACACCTCCCAGCCCCACCGTACTTTAGTCTTTGTTTACAGAGACTGAAGGGGTCAGGAATCAAGAACACCGAATACAAATCTGATTAAAGTTTTCATTTTTCTCCTCAGGAATGTAAATTGTTCAAGTAATTCAGATTATTTGGTGTGCTACCATAAGACCTCAAGTGCACAACTACCTTGCACACAAGCAATTTAGTTCAGGTTGATTAGTTGGTATCATGTGGTACTTCCTTGGAGGTGACCAATGATTGAATTCCACATACTTGAGATATTATTGAGGTCATGCATTTACAAGAAAAAAAGTACACTAAGAAAACCACCGATCAATTATTGCAATATTATACCTCCTCATTTAAAAAATGAATATTTTCTTGTTGATATTGCAGTAAGGCCATCTGCTGATCCGAGAGTCTGCCACCATCATGATACCTGTCATCCCAAATGATTACGCTTAGGGATGCAATTAGGAAATAAGGTGTTAAATGGCCCAGGAAGAAACCAAGTAATGCAGTTATAACGGACAAAAGTCCCATCCCAAGGCGTTAAAACATAAAATTGGATGAGAGGTACCTTAGGCCTTCCAAAGAACTTGATGGTTGAAGCGGAGAATAAAGTGATTTTAAAACATCGGGTTGAGAATCAAGTGAGTTGTACTGATGAACATATCCTGCAAATACAAATGTCACAGCTATTCTAGATACCACTATAACCGACCCCTAGATTAACATGAGCAAATTATAGGCTTTAAAATTAGTAAGAAGAAAATCTACATGAGTTACTTCTCTGTTTTGACAAATGATAATGTTGTAAGGAAACCACAAGATGTGTGCAAACGCAAACAAGTTTAGGGCATACTTGCTTCTTAACTCACCAATATAAGCACTCATGAAGGAACTAGCACATATTACTTCAACTAATAAAATGATTCTGCAAAAGTTAGAAGCAAACAGAAACTTATTAAAATGCTGTGCAGCATTATTGACACAATGTAAGATATAATCTCTGTCCATGCTTAACAGCAATGGAAACTTTTAGGTGTTTGCATGTCACATGACTAGAGTTCTCATGTCAGATTGAGTGTGGATTTGTAACTTCAGATCAAGATGATGGTCCTAAATAAATGAATATTGGTATAACCTTTATTTTCAGGTATAGTAGCATCAAATTCCCAAACTTCTAATAAATCTCAATGTACGCATGAGCCAGACACCTATAATAGAATTACACCCCCCCCCCCCCTTCCAAACTTATGTTTATTGCTAATAATCCAACACTATTCCATGTTGGCCCGTCGGCACTTATTATGATACCTTGTAACTTTCAAATTTTAAATCAATGCCAGCATAGCAGCCATGTCATCAAATACAATTTGAGATTTTTTACCTAAAAGATAAAATATAGTAAAATTTATCTATTTTAATTCTTCTTTTTTATCAATATTTTAATTCTTCTTAAATGTAATTGCAATACGAAAAGAAATAAATATAATTACTAATTTTACAAAAAGGACAATGTTTGGTTATTTGGCACGATTACAACTTTATTTTATGACAAAACTTGCAAATTTATCAGGTAACATATTGAAACTATTCTTCACCTGAGTAATGTAGACATGGAGAGAAAGCTAATGTGTGGATTCCAGACCATGACAAGCAACATTGTAGCAGTTCCTGTCAGTAAATCAGTGCACGTGGATGACTCATATTGTTGAATGCATTGTGAATTGTCAAATGCATGTCAACAATTCAACATCAATGCAAACCAAACAAACTTTAACACTACTCACTAGTCTTCAAAAAATTGTGGGAAGAAGAAGAAGAAGAAGAAAATGAGTAAACCCAAATGCGTAACAGAAACACAAATGTATTACTTCTTTGTCCCAGTGTATTCGTCATGTTTGACCTTCTCGAGTCAAAGTGGACGAACTTTAATCATCAATTACTCAAAATTTGTATTGCATATTAATACAATGAAATACAAATTTGAAAGTTCTCTACAAGATAAATCTATTGAAATCATTTCTATACTAATATACATTATAGCTTTTATTTAATTAAAGTTCAAAGTTCGTCAAGTTTGACTCAAAAAAAGTCAAACTGGATGAATACACTGGGGCGAAGGTAGTACTTAATTTGCTTAGTCATGAGCCAACAAGATTGGACAGAATGTAAATAACGTTATGGCCAAGAAGATAATGATAGCATTAGCATGCAATACATGTATAAAACCCAACAATGACATGAGAGAAGAGAACAAACAAATAATGCATACCATATGAAACCACAGCAAATGGTAAGCGAACTATATGTTTCAACTTCTGGCTGAAAATGTAATAGCCCTACAAATAAAGCCCCATAAAGTTGAGTTCCCAGTTCAAATCAACATGATATACTATGATTCTATTTGAAAAACAGAGAAATACCCACCTGTAATCGGATTTTTTTCACTTGGTATGCTAGATATTGTTGAAAAATGCCTGCATTATGCACACACACATTAATAAAGGATTGTGTTATATGCATTGAGAAAAAAACAAAGGGAAAACAAGTTGAGGAATGTGAGAAATGAAAGCTATGAGTGTTTCTGTAAAGGGGGTGGTAGTGTAGTGGGGTGCTGCAGAACACATCATACTGAAAGTAAATCACCACTACATAAAATAGATTAATTTTTACCCGTGGCAAACAAAAGGATAACATTAAAACTGCACAGCAAGGGAGGGACCAATTCTTTAATGGGATGAAATACCCATGTAGCTCCTACAGCCAAACTAGCAAAACCTGCCTAGAGGTGAAACAAATCAACCGGCCATAAAATGATTTTTTTCTCTATATTTTACAGTGAATCACGCAAGAAAAGAATGTATACTTGCCAATAGAAAGCAGTAGAAAATGCTCCCGAAAATCCGTGTAGGCTTCCGGCGACCAAATAAAGGTGCCTCATGTAGTATGTCAAGGAATCTAAAAACAGAATGAAGAGTAATCATGACCTTTTTTATCTCAGAAGTTGAAAATTGAGTTAGTACTTAATAAGACAGTTGCATTGACAAAACTAAAATTCATAAATGATCAAATATTCAAATTATATAATGGCATGTTTGGGAACTTGAATATGGATTTGGCTCATATTCCAAGTTTGGGAATCTTAAAATTTTGGATTTGAATTTGACGCAAATTCCTCCAATTCATAGCATAGCTCAATTAGAAATCCATGTACCTACCCTTGTGATTTGATATTCAAGAATTCAAATTTTGGAATTGAAATGAAATGCTAGTTTTCAAAACACTACCTATGCTTGGGAATTTGAATTTAGGATTTTAATCCGGATTTGGATGAAATTCCATGCTTGAGAATCATAAAATTTTGGATTTGGATTTGACGCAAACTCCTCCAATTCATAACAAAATTCAATTAGAAATCCATATACCCACCCTTGTCATTTGATATCCAAGAATTCAAATTTTGGAATTGAAATGCAAGAATTGAAATGAAATCCTAGTTCCAAGAAAGTGAATGCAAACCGAAATCGAGCTATACTCAGCATGTACTTCACTAGGTATGATATAATTTCCATCCATGCACTCTCTGTTAACTGATGAGAGTACAAAGGAGCTGAGCTCGAGAAAATCTACATCAGTATATGAAGAATGCAAGAGATATACAGTGCATTCCATTTACAAATCAAACTCAGAAAACATTTTGTTGAACAAATTAAATGAATTCTGATCAATTTGATTGGTTTGAAATTCTGGGAAATCCGCAGCAGCAGCAGCATTACTTAATAAACATAAAACACTCCCCCAAAAAAACATCAATTTTATATAAATGGATAGTCTCATCAGAATTCTCAGGTAGTTTTGTGCAAACACAGCAGAAAATCAGTAACCCTAAGAACAAAATAAAATATATGACTGATCATAAATGAATCAAAAAAAGTGATTTGTGTATGCACTCACAAGGTATTATCTTCAGGAGATGCATTCCCAGAATTATGCCTTTCTGTTGCCATTTTCGTCTTCTTCTTCGACTAGACTCAACTCTCAAATTGTTCGACTATACAGACTGCTGCTACGATGGCAATCCAGTTTGAACCCGGTCCAACCCGTCCGACATTTACACACCTGGAAATCAGGCCGGCTCATCGAGCCCCATAAGTTCAAGCAAGTACCCACCAAGGGGAAGAATTCATAGTATTTGTTCAGTTTTGATTTTTTACATTTAATTATTTCCAATTCTTGATATGTAATTAAATAAAATAAAAAATATATTTTAATTAGATAAATTAATATTTTGTAAATATTGTATAAAATGAATCTAATAAAATTAATTATGTATCAATATCTAATTTCATTTTTATTTAATTTCTGATCAAAAATTGCCAATTTGGATTGAAAAAATCAAAGATGGACAAATACTCCGTATATAGATGTACTTATAAATATATCAAGTTATGAACTAATTTTCATGTTATCAACTAATTTTGGCTTGTACACCTTTAGGCACATTGAGTGTTTCTGGGTTGCTGTAACGCCCTGAAAACCGGCTTAGTAGTTAGCCGTTATTTTAATAAAAATAAATTGATTATTTATTGACTTCAAAATATGAAGTATCTGTAAAGTTGACCATTTTAGTTAAAAATTAGATTTTTGGGTACGTCGCGGAAAAAGGTGACCAACGGCATATTGTTTGTCAAGTTTGGAATCTCGTGTGCATCGTGATGAGCGAAACAATCAATACAGTTTAATAAATAAATGTAAAGAATTTTGTAATATTAATAAATGATAGGAAAACCAAATAGGCGTGCGTTACTTCCCAATTTCCATTGCAAAAGCCCAAATCCATTCTTTTTATAAACCTGACCATCGCCTACCTCTGTCCTTGTCCTTCCGTTCGACCGAAACAGCCAGAGGGAGTAAACGCCGGAGCTTCGCCGGTCCTAGCGGGTCTTCTTCGTCCTCGCTACCGTGATCGCCGGACTAGGGGAAAGAGCCGCATAGCAGGAGCCTAGACCGGAGCTAACCACCGCGGGTCTGCCGCTGCTCTGTCATCTAAGGCCGCCGGAAAATCTTGCCGGATTCCTACCGGTAAATTTGGTATTCTTCTTCGATTATATTGAGGTGAGTGAATTATCTCTCGTTAGAATTGATTCGTAGATTAGGATTTGTTGATATATTTTCGTGTAATTGATGATGAATTTGTGAATTGAATTATGAATCTCTTGAGGGATTATCTTGGATTCGGGAATCTGGTTCATTGTTCGGTTGTAGGATTCCTTCCATTAATTCTTGTCCTCTTTTGCTCTGTTCTGTTCTTCTCTATTCTCTTTCTTTCTGGCCATTGTTTCTGTCCTGTTTCCGCTGATCTAGATGCTACTGCTGCCGCCACTAAGATGCTGCTGCCACCGAGGGAGACCACCGCTGCCGGTTGTGGGTTGCCCCTGCTGGAGATTTGGGCTGCTTGGTAGACATTGGGAAGTTCAATGGGTTGCTTGGGGTTTTACAATCAATCTGTTTGGCCATAATTTATTTATGTGTGATAAGTGTGCATCGTTTCCCCAATGGGCCGACGATTGTGTGTAATAGGTTATGTATTGGTTACAAAACTTATGGGTGATTTTGTGTACTGAATTGGAATTTAGGAATAGACCACCTGGTATATCTGGGAGGTTGTGAATTATACGGATAAGGATTAGGATTCAGGCCGGGTGGGGCGAGCTTCGCATAACTCACAGGTCTTGGGTTAAAAACGTACGTACGGGAGTCATTATCCTACCTAGGGATTCCTTTGTAGGGGCTCCAACCCGCCCATTGAGGATTCTCTTTGGGTTTCATCAAGCGTGGCCTCGGGGGATCTGTCCGAGTGTCCATGGCTTAGTTAGTCAAAAGGAACCTTAGCCTATAGGGTTAAGTGTAGATGAACAACAGGAGCTGAATATAAACAAATAGTTGATCATGATATTTGATAATGATATTTGTTGATTCTTCTGATGTTGTATGATTATATATTGATAAGTGCTAGTCTATGAGTTGGTTCTAGCGTTAGATACTTCCACTCTTCCTATATTTTTACAGGTAGAGATCAAGGACTGAATGAGGAGCAGCCTGGAGAATAGTGAAGCGTGACGCTGATGGATGGCCCGATGCTGTTTGAAATTGAATTAAATACTTGTTGACTTTTATCTTGCTTAAACTACAAGAATGTTTGATGATGTTGTTTTAAAGGCTTCCGCAACGTTTCAGTTATTTACTCCGGTTAATTATGAATTGTTTTTCATTAAATATAAATGTATGTTTTATTTTAAATGTTTTCAAAATATTATGCATGTGAATACGAAATTCGTAGCAACCCGATTCGCTAACTCGTCGGTTCGGGTTACGCGGGTTGGGGTGTTACAGTTGCTTTGTTATTGTTTTTTAGTGTTATTGATTCTATTTTAATGTAGTATCTATTCATATTATTTACAATTTAATGATGCATAAAGATATAATATCTTCGTTTCTGCTAGGACTCGAATCTGGGTGAACATCTCTATTAATCCCCAAGACAGGGAAAATTTTCTTATAAAATAGCGAGTCACGCTACTATGGTTCTAAGGTCCACATTAAAATTTTATAAGTGAATTTTTTTCTCTTTTGTAGAAGTTCAACTCTTACTTGATACATTTGTATTAAGGTCCATAAAATGATTATGGACTCAAGGAGCACATAAAAAATTGCCTTTTAGAATAAGGCGACAGATTTGACGACGGCTCTATTTTGTCGTCATAGTCAAAACGATCCAGATTTATTTTTTCTTGTTAATTAGACCGTGTGTAATGGGGCGTGTTTTTCCCCATTTAGGCTGCTCAGGTATTAAAAAGCCTGTTTGCTCACATAGTATCCACACGCAAAAATGCCTCGAAAAAAAACTGGGACCACTACACATGGTCTTAGTGACAGTTTTTTCGTCGTGAGACCTTGCGACAGAATGATTCCGTCGTGAACTCCGTTGTTAGCAAGTGCGCACGGACCTTTCTACGTGATTTTGATGACGGTTTCACTATTCCGTCGTTAAATTCTTTTGGCGAGAAAGATCTATTGCAAGTTCCGTCGTTGGTCACAATGGACATGTTTCCATCACCATTTTCATCGTCAATTCAGTACTCCCTCCGTCCGGATTTTAAGTTCCCAGTCTACGCTTTTTTCCGTCCGGAAATAAAGTTCCCAGTCTACATTTTCATACCCAATCTTCCTAAATTACCCCTCCCTCCTCATCCTATCTCCTCCTTTCTTGTTTTTAATTTCTTCTTTCTCTCGGCCAGAGAACCTGCGACCAGGTAACCTCATATCTCTCTCTCTCTCTCTCTCTCCTCTCCCCATTCTTTTTATTCTCGTTATCTTCCTCATCTTCTTTCCTTCTCCTTCTTCTTCCAATCTTTCTTTTCTCTTCCTCTCCCCCTTCATTTTCTTCTCAATCTTCCTCCTTCCCTTTCTTTTTTGGCTAGATCTAGCCTTCATCTCCCCCCTCTCTCTCTTCCCCTCTTCTTTTTCTTCTTTTTGTCAATTTCTTCTGCTAGATCTCGTTTGTTTTTTTCAGATCTAAAAAATCTGAAAAATCCATTTATGCGGGGTTGCCGGTGATGGTGTCGGCGGCGATGGTGAGCCGACGGTGATGATAGGCTGGGTGCGGCAGTGGGGCTGGTGGTAGTGGGAGTTGGGGCGGCAATGGAGTTGGAGCAATTACAGGTATTCAAGTCAGGGATTGGTGGTGACAGTGGGGGTGCGGCGGGTGGAGGTGACGGTGGTGGTGTGGGTTGGGTCGATGGAGCGCTTGGGAGGTGTCGGTGGTTGTGTGGGCTTAGGATGAGGGAAGGTAAGGTTGAGATAACAGGGAAGGGGAAGGGGATAAGAGTATTTTTAGATATTTCCTTCCCAAAGTCAACACCCAATAAAAATAGCCAAAAGTCAAAATGGGTACTTAAAATCCGGACGGAGGGAGTATTTTTTACAATGCTCCAATGCCTTCAATTTTATTCCATTAAACAAAAATCCAAAATCTCTTTCATACTCATAAATTTGATCTTGAATGCTTCTTTGGGAGATTTAACCACTTCATTCTCAACATTTTCATCCAATCGTTTTTTCTTTGAAGGCCTCGTCTCACATTGAAATCGGACTTCATATTCATTTCGGTCATTTGCAACTTGTCTTGATCATACAAGACTCAAATCTTGTCTTAATACTTTTTAAAAAAGCAACAAGACCATGTAATATTTCAATTACTATATCATGGGAGAAAGACCAAAATAGGACTAAAATATTGAAAATATACCGAAATAGGACTTCCATGTTTTTATTCCCGAAATAGGACTTACATTACCAAACATGGTCATATGCATTACCAAAAAAGTATAGCAATTTGCACATGTACACTGTCGCATTACCACAATGCAAAGTCATATTACCACAGTGCAAAGTCCTATCCCGGGAAAAAAACATGAAAGTCTTATTTTGGTATTTTTCTCTATGTTTTAATCTTATTTAGGATGATTTCTATAGATGATACAAATATCGTATCAGATAGAGGAGAACTTCGAGCGTCTTTAGGCTCCAAGAAAGGGAAGAAAAACTTAAAGCGTTTACGAGATTCAAGAAAAGAGATACGAGATTAGGATTTGATAATAATTGATTGAATGCCAAATACGGGGTTACAATATATAGAGAAAAGCTAGACTAGTTGACCTAATGAACTCAAACTCGTACTAAATCCTAAACAAGACTAATTACGGAGTATAAAGTACCAGAGTATTAATAAAGAACACTAATTAATCAATAATTTAACTAATCTATTACGGAGTATCATATTATTAATTAGACAAATTAAAGAGAATGAGGTTAGACAGAGTAGTTCGTCTGGCCCTAGATACGCCACATTAGAGTGATCTTTAATTTGTTTGTTTGAAAACTCAATCAATCTACAGTAACAATCCATCCATGGACCATACATACACTTACCAAAAGCTATGCAAAGTCAGATTCGAGCTTCTAGAACATTAAACGCTGCAAGAAACCTTCCCTGATAGTTTAAAATATCTGTCCAGGATTATTCGGTTGACCTTCTACGAGTATTATGTTGACCAACTCATTTGGAACAAGCTCGTGTAATATTCATCAACCATGCTAGGGTACGCCGAGTAGGAGAGGAGAGAGAAGAAGGGAGTGAGTTAAATGGGTGCGCCGAGTAGGCATCCACGTAGGATAGGTAACCGGTTGGGTACCTGGAAACCGATTAAAATACCGTCGGTGAAAGAAGCTGGTAAGTTAGTGTACTTTTCTGATAGAAAATAAAGTTTGTATACCAAAGTGAAATAAACGTCAAAGTTGGTGTACCATACGTGATATTTACCTCCGTAATTCCATACGGAGTAAAACTCAAAAAACTCTTTTAAAAAAAACCGAACGGAGAAAAACCAAAGTAGGACTAAAACATTGAAAATATATCAAAATAGGACTTCCATGTTTTTATTCCCGAAATAGGACTTACATTACCAAACATGGTCATATACATTACCAAAAAAGTATAGTAATGTGCACATGTACACTCCCACATTACCACAGTGTAAAGTCACATTACCACAGTGCAAAGTCCTATTTCAGGAAAAAAACATGAAAGTCCTATTTTGGTACTTTTCTGTAGTATGTTTTAGTCCTATTTAAGGTGATTTCTATTTTCTAAAAACCGAATTACTCTAAATTTGATTAGCTGCAAGTGGATGGATTTTTGAAGGTCTACAGACACGGTGAATGGTCAGCTGGGCAGCCACGTCAAGTGTATGATGAAGAAATTACCCTTCCCTTTCCTAATAATTTGGGTCAAAACTTTATCACATTAGGTAAAAAATAGTTGCATAGACAATCATTAACAAAAAATTTACTCCGTGATAATTACGGAGTATCACATTATACACCATCCCCTTAATCATTGTTTTGGAACAATAAGTACTTACTTTTTTTTCTTTTTTAATACATTAAGCTTCTCAAATTAGGTAGGATGATCCTAGCTTTTAAATTTGTACCTACAATACTGGTTTGGTATGATTTTAGATTTAAAACCACCGCTACCCAATATTTATTTAGAAGAAATTGTGATCGCTACAGGTGTTCTCAAGCGACTCTACACTCTATTGTTTACGATAGCCGGTCAACAAATTTTCACTCACATTAAACTCTTGCTCCACTGTAATTGTAGAAATTGTTTAATGGATAATACTTGCCACACTAATACAGACATAGGTTGCTTGTCTTTTCACTATTAGAGCACCGCTACATTTTCATCATACATACTTACAAATAATGGTTAGATACAGAGAAGCTCGTTAAGCGAGCATTGAGATGCGACACCCGGACACAATTTTTTTCCATTATATTTGCTATAGTAGTTTAAAATTTGGCATTTTCCTTTAAATGATATAAAAACTTCTTTGTCGATGGTTTCAAGTTAAGAGACGGGTTACATGAAAAATAGTGTGAAATTCATTGTATAAAGCATTATACTACCTTCATCCTCAAGTATTCGTGCGGTTTGACATTTTAAAATAGACTGTACTATATTTATTTTTCAAAGAAAAAAGAAGATTTTTGAAATACTTCAAATAGAAAAGTACCCAGGAAGCATTTTTAAATAAAATAAAATTGTATCGTTATTATTTATTCAAATGAAGGGAGAGAAAAAACTCAATACAACATAAAATTCCTAAGCATACCTACTAAATTACCGGAGTAAAAAATATCTAAAAAAATACTCGGTAGATTTTTTCAAAATAGATTTAAGAACAAAGAAAATTCTTTTGAGTAGTATGTAATCAACATGGGTTGGTTATTTTCCACTCGCCCAAGTCACAAAGTGAAAACGACTCCGTTTTATACACGCTATCATAGACATTTGAGCAAGTCTCTCTACTAGTCTCGTTCACTCGTTTGCAAAAATAAAAATAAAAAGTCTCCTTCGAACTAAAACCCGACCCGTTTACGCTCCGCGGGCTCCCACTATAAATATAACCCACTCCCATCCCTCTCTCCGTCAATCACAAGCCTAATACGACAGAACCGCCGTTTGAGTTTCACGGACGTTTTACCGTTTCTTCCTCCTCAAGACGACGGCGACCGATTCGGTCTTCTAGAAAAATCTACCCTATATATACGCGAAAGTCGCCGCCGGCAGCACAATGCCGCCGACGCCTGTCAAATTGCAGTCGTGTCTGCCGTGGTGCCTGAAGGCGAAGGGAGGCGGCGGCCGGAAGGAAGCGCAGGCGAAGAAGAAGGAGGAGGAGGCTCCGAAGCAGAGCGCGTTTCAGTTCCGGAGGGTTTCGGTGTCCGATCTGAGCTCCTCCACGCTCTCCGAGGACATCTCTAGCTCCCTGATCGGTTCGAATCTCTGCATTTTCACGGTTCAGGAGCTCCGAGTGATTACTCACGGTTTCTCGGCAAGTAATTTCCTCGGCAAGGGCGGATTCGGCCAGGTCCACAAAGGATTCGTGGATGATAAGATCCGACCCGGATTGAAGGCCCAGCCAGTCGCCGTCAAGCGCCTGGATGTGGATAACGGAACTCAAGGCCAGAGAGAATGGCTGGTGAGGAGTAATATATGTTTATTAATCGTCAAACTTAACTAATTGCAGTGATTTATGATTGTTTTCTGATTGGAATTGGGAAATTGATGTATATAGACAGAAGTGATATGTCTTGGGCAAATGAGGCATCCCCATGTGGTGAAGCTGATAGGGTATTGCTGCGAAGACGATCACAGGCTATTGGTATATGAATACATGCCCAGAGGCAGCTTGGAGAATCATCTCTTTGGAAGTACGTTTTACACTTTACACTATTTATGCTTTTCCCACTCATTCATTGAATTAGCCATTGTTAATTCGTATAGTTTTGATTATACACCCAAGTAAATTTGCACCATTTATTCGCCCTATTTAAATTCTCTTCTTCCCAATTCACATGGGTGGACGTTGCACTACAACTATGCTAAGCGCACGACTTCGACATATATCAAGTGTAGACTCTATTATTTGCTACTAATATATGATTAAAAAACTCAATTTAGCCCATCTTCATCCGGATCAGACCTCAGGGATACCCTTCATTTTTTTTCGATTCAAAATGTGATGTCATTTTCATTATTTTAGTCATCAACGGGCGTTGCGCAGTTGAAAAGTCAAGGAGTGCCAAGGGAATAAGATCCGAGTTCGATTCCTGATACTGAGAGGCAATTATGTTAAGCATAGAGTCTCTACAAGTAACATGTGCAAGCTCTACTCTTTGCCACCAACTTACAATCAAAGTCTTATTTATCATCTCAATGACTGTCCGACCGGGTTTGAGAAATTTCTCGGGGATGAGGCTCTTTTTTATATAAAAAACACTATATTCAGTTAAACTAATATAAGAAAAAATAAGTGTAAAAGAAAATAATAAAAATTATACTCAATATATTAGAAAACTACACCAATATTCATATAAACATAATGGAGGCAAGATTATTTTATTTCATTAAATGACCGATGAACAAATGAAGTATATTAAGTTTGACTCGTGAATAGTAACTAGGATTCTTTTTTTGGGGCGGTGGGAGTAATGCTTTTCTGTGTGTCAATTTGATTCTTTTTTGGGATAGAGGGAGTATTAACTAAATTTAAAAATTATGATTAAAATGCGTGTATAATTTACCAGTTTAGCTCATTTAGAATAACGGGAATTCTTAAATTTATCTTCAAAGGTGGTCATCAAAGTTCTCCTTCGTCATTTTCCATCTTTAGGGGAACCACCACCTATGGTGGTGCGGCTCTAGTGGTTCCCGCCACCTCATTCGATCTCTAGAAAGACAAATTTGGACACGCATCATGCATTATTTTTTCTAGTGAAATTTCACTAAATAGCAATAAAAGATACTTGGTCCGTCCTTGAGTATTTGTCTACTTTTGACTTTTGGAACTGTTCATCTAAGCACTTTGACTCATCAAATTCTCTCAATGTGTTAGCCTAAAACTAGTCATGTGTGATCTTGTTTGATTCGTCTTAACATATAGATTATTAATATATAATTTTTATAATTTTTTAATATACAAATTACAAGATAAAATGGATTAAAGAAGTGCATTGGATGGTGTGCAAAAATGAAAGTGGACAAACACTCAGGGACGGAGGGAGTATGTTTTTTCCAATATAAAACTTAAACTTTTTTATTCTCTAAATAATATTTGAATAATGTTAAGTGGCAGGAATAATGTCATAATGGTGGACATTTAGCTTGAACAATGACTAGTGGACATTGGACAATAATACTACTCCTCCGTTCCAAATTATTTGCCACATTTGTATTCCCGAGGCAAAATATCAAGTTTTTTCAATTCATTTTATTTACATATTGGTATAGAAATAAAAAATAAAATTTACATATAAAAAAACTAGTACATGAAAAGTTCTTTAAAATAAGAGGTGTCAAGAATATTTTATTTTATCAAGTAACCAATGAAAACATCGAAATAATCAAATGTTCCCGCGAATGGTGAAAAAACAAATATTGTGATTATTTAGGGACGGAGGGAGTATATTGGAAAACAATTTTTGTTATATGTAAAGGAAAAAACTTGACGTCATTAATTGTTACTCCGTATGTTATTAGAAAAATTTACTAGTCCAACTTTCACCTCACCTAACATGCAAAGCTCGGTTAGGTAACTTTATGTTATAGGTAGATGTACCCATCGTGGAAGTTTAGATCAATTTGTCCATATTTTAGCTAGTTACGGTAAGATTATCTTTCTTTCCTTCTTTTTCTTCTTTTTTTTGTTTGTTGAAAAAGTCAAGGGTCGTGCACCCAGTAACTCTTTCTTGGACGTGAAATATGACTTTCTGCATTATAATTTGTTTACTTTTTAGAACAATATTTAATATAATAAATAATGACATAATTAATCTTGAAATTATACATACAGGATATTCCGCGTCCCTTCCATGGTCTGCCCGGATGAAGATAGCCGTGGGCGCTGCAAAGGGCCTAGCTTTCCTTCACGGAGCGTCAAAACCTGTCATCTATCGCGATTTCAAAGCTTCTAACATCTTGCTTGACTCGGTACGTAGTCTCCTATCAACTACGTCTCCTATCAACTACGTCTCCTATTTAGTTTTATCGTTTTCAAAGTTAATACTAATTGAAAATATTCTTCCCAAATATGGCCTAAACAAACCCTGCATGCATGCATGTGAGGAAGCGTGTTATGGTACAACCGTACAAGAACTATTTCTTCGTATTAACCAGTACTTTTGATTGAGTCGGTTCTTGATACCATACGACCGAATTGAATAAGAGCGATGAGCTAATCAATCACCATTACTTAATGCAGGAATACAATGCCAAGCTATCGGATTTCGGGTTAGCGAAGGACGGGCCCGAAGGCGACGACACGCACGTCACGACCCGAATCATGGGCACGCACGGGTACGCGGCGCCAGAATACGTGATGACAGGGCACCTGACATCCGCGAGTGACGTGTACAGTTTCGGAGTCGTGCTGTGTGAGCTTCTCATGGGCCGGAAGTCGATCGACAAGAGCAGGCCGTCGAGAGAACAGAACTTGGTGGACTGGGCGAGGCTTCAGCTAAGGGACCCGCGGAAGCTTCGCCGCATAATGGACCCCAGGCTTGAAGGCATGTACTCCGAAGACGGGGCCCAAAAGGCCGCCGGCCTGGCGTACCAATGCCTTAGCCAGAGGTCGAGCCGAAGGCCGGCTATGAGTGAAGTGGTCAGGGTTTTGGAGCCTTTGAAGGACTATAAGGACGTTTCTAATGCCACATTTGTGTACATAGCTCCTTCAGCTGGGAAAGGATTTGGTGTACATAAGCATATATAGTACCAAAAGTGCCTTAGTCTAGAACAACTGTGTCCATTTATTAGGAGCTTTGTAATGTAGAGAAAGTGTAATTAAATTGTGTAATTAGGGCATGAGATGCATGAAAATGGCACATGCAGAACTTGCTGGAGCAAAACTGCTCCCCACTTTTTTTTTGTGATTTTTTAAATAGTTGTTTCCATTTGTATTTATGAAGGTAATTAAGAATGAAATGAAAGTGATATATGCATTAATTCAAGTATTAACAACGTGGATTATAATGGATTAGTTGTGTAGAAAAAATTCTTATCTTAATTACTCATAGAATTTGAAATATTCAATGAATACTTCAGCTTTAGGAACTTGAATGATTTTATAATTAAATGTGATCACTTTTTAATATACGGAGTAGGAGTGTAAGATTATTTACTCCCATCCGTTAATGTTTAAGGGTCCGTTTGGTATACGGAATTGATGGAATTGGAATTGAATTGGAATTGAATTTCATGGGACTCAATTCCATAGAAATTGAATTCATCAATTCCAATTCATTTTTTGCATTACCAATTCCAAATTCACATAATTTTTGTGCTACGAAACACCAAAATTTAAATTGAAGTCCTCAATTCCAATTCCACAATTTGAATTCTGTGTACCAAACGGGGCCTAGGTGAAGTTTCCAAACAATAATTATACTCCGTAATTCCTAAGCTTTGTTTTTGAGAGAACTTTATATTATTTTTTGATCGTCTAAAAATAAAATTTACTCATTTACACTTTCTCCCTTCCAAACAAATAAATATTCTCTTCACCCAAAAATTGATTTCAAGTTTGGAACTATGAGGCAAAATCTTGTTTTTTTAAAATCATTTTACGGAGTATTTAAAAATTGGCACAGAAAAAATAAAACTTACATACTCTCTCTGTTCCAATTTGAACTATTCGAAATTTGGAAGCGACAATAATATATATTTTATTTAATCAAATAATTAATAAAAATACATATATTAAAAAAAATTAACGAAAACTTGGAATAAAAAGATTGTAATCTATTAAGATAGAGAGAGTATGTGGACATTTTTCATTCTTTCTCTTCCAAAAAATGTAAACCATATACTTCCTCCATCCGAAAAACCATTACACTCTTCAATAATCAATTAAGAGTCACGAAAACTTTTATATATTTCTGTGTTTTGATTGATTACATTGATTATATAATAAAATAAAGTATATTCTTGTCACTTATTATTTATAGAACTTCTGACATACTTTTTAAATATATAAGTTTTGTTTTTAAATTCTACATCAACATTTCTTAAATTTTGTGATATCAAATTGTAAGTTTTTTTAAACTACGGAGAGATCATAATTTTCGGAGTACATTTTATTGTACTTTATTTTAATTATCATATTCTTTGAAATACTCCACATTTAAATTCTATTTTTGCAGTTTTAAATTCTTTCACTTTCATATTGATGAATTCCTTAACTTTTGAATATATATATATATATATATATATATATATATATATATATATATATATATATATATATATTCACTTCTCTCAATAGTCAATATTTCCTCACACTTAAAAAGTTTCCGCGTATAAACAATTTTTTTCTTAAACAAGTAGCATTATCCTAAAAATCAAACGACAGGAAGATATGTTACCCGCGGACTTTTTATATACGAAAACGGATTGCAATGGGAATTCAGGAAATTAATTGCTTACCAAACACAGCTTAGCAAACATTAAATCTGGAATTAATGGCTAGTATATTTATTTATATATAAAACTGCTTGAAACTTGACCAAATCTAATACAATGTATTTAAAAATAATATGTAGTTATTAATCCTAATTTAATTATGGGGGAAGATTCATTCAACATTATTCATATTTCATGCATATTGTATGGTCATATCTGCAAATACCATCAACAGATATCCATGGGTTTTAATTATATTTATTATGCCACATTGCCTAATAACGGGGTCAAACTAAGAGAATTGAATATGACTTGTCCATGTTTGGAAATTACTCTTTCTATCCCTACTATTTTCTTTCCATTTTAGTTCTATAAACTTGAATAGGTATTAAAAAAGTTATCTCAAACATTAACGACATCGCTGTTTCTACGAATGAAGACATAAAACGAGTTCGAAGAAATGATGTAAACCTAGTACACTTTACACCTTTCTTAGAAAAATATAATGATTTACCATATCCTTAATCTTCTGTAATATGTTTGAATTGGTTGAATGGAAAATGGGAAAAAGAAATAGAGAGCAGAAAATATGAGATTCATAAAAAAAAATTATTCGGATGAGAAAGAAAAGTAATAAAACGAAAATTTGGGTGGGTATCACTTTGTATTTGCTGGTTTGATCGACCGAATATATTAGTCGTGGATTAAAAAATGTTTGACAAATTCAGGCATGCACTTCTACACAATTTTTATATATAGATTAAATTATGTTTTAAAAAATGTTTCATTATATGATATCATATGTTTTACGATATACTCCCTCCGTCCGAAAATATTCTTCTCATATGACTTTTCTTGGTCAAAGTTTGTAAACTTTGACTATGATATATGGAAAAAATACATTGTATTACGATATAAATTTAATATGAATATATTCATTTTGAAATATAGTTTTCAAATATCAAATTTTTATAAAATATATCCAAGTATAAATAAAAATATTAGTGGTCAAAGTGCAATCTTGAAGACCGTAAAAAGTCAAATGAGAAGAATATTTCCGGACGGATGGAGTAATATGATTTATATTCATATTATTTATTTATAATAATTAAGTGCCTCCTTTTTCTCAAAATAAAATTTTAAGGTGTTATTCTAAAGTCACATAAATTCTTGTTTATTAATGTGTTTTATCGATTAGTTGATAAAATAATATTATCATATATATTATCTTTTGTTTTGAAAACTTTTGATGTACTTCTTAAAAAAATGATTTTTCTTTATTTCTACTCCATTCTCAAGTTAAATAATTCAAGAAACTATTTTTCTCATAAATCCCTCCTTGAATTTTACTTGGGGAAGGAGTATTTATTTTAATTTATTTATGTATTTATGCAGTGAATACATAATAAGTCTAACAACGAAAAAAGTGTTTGATATAGAATATTTAGTTAGTTTTGGTTGTTTGATGTCATGCTCTCCTCAACTTATTTTTTTAATTAGTTTTTTTGGAATCAGATCAGATCAAAAATAACTTTAAATATAACTACATTCAGATCAGACCAAATAAAAACTTATTTCTATTTGAGCGAAAAAACCCAAACATGAATTAAAACTCACAAGTCATACGGACTACGAGTCAAATCTAATCATCCGGCCCAACTAGATAAATCCCATATGTAAGCCCGTTTTTAACCAAATTAGCAGGCCCATGCCAAAAAAAGCCCTTGTCAAATCTTATTTCTATTCGAGCGAAAAAAGAAATACTCAGCAGAAAAAAGAAAGAAAGAAAACTACTTCAATTCGAACCCTTAAATTCCTCCGATCTCCGGCACTAATTGGCGTGCTCAGGACTAGCCCTAGCTCGGAACCCATGGCGACTCTCGACTCCGATATCAATATGGTTCCGGCCGACAAGGAGCCCACCGGCGGCGATCCATCTTCTTCAGTGGCATCGGCTTCGTCTTCAACGAAGAAAGTCAAGAAATTCGAGATCAAAAAGTGGAACGCTGTTGCTCTCTGGGCTTGGGGTATCTTCGTAACCCTAACTTGGTCTACATCTATACACTTAATAATATCTTGTATGAAGCTGCTATTGATGATTCGTGTGATGTGTGAGAGTATGAGATTTTCTATTTACCTGTTGCTGCGATGCATGAGATATGTGGAACTAAGTTTGTGCCCTTCTTTACGAGATGCATATTTTTGAAACTGAATTTGATAGTTTATGTTTGTATTTACATTGTGCAAATTTGTGATCCTTGTATGATTTGACTAATTGGAAGACCAAAATGCTGATAAAAGTTTTTAATTTAGACCAAATCCTCTAACCATGATTTAGTGAAGTGTAGATATCATTATAAAAAAGCAAGATTGCATGAAAGTTGAGAAATATTTTAAGGTGGAGTAAAGTGTAAAAGTTTAAGTGGCATAGTCCTCACCAATTGAGCTTGTGTGCCAAAAGTGCTAATAACGATGAGTGGAGGTAGAGGTGCAAGAAAATCACGCGAATGCAATTATATTCAGCACATGTAGAATAAAGTTAAGAGATGGAAAGAATGGACCTAACTGATATTTTTTTGTAGCTTGAAAGGTAGGATGTATAAAATCTAAGACCAATGTTGTTTTTTGAGGTATTAAAAGATTTGGGTTCTCGATGCTCAACTGTGTAGAGAAGACTAAATGTTTCATGAGTATGATTGCAAGTTTCATGGTCTTGATTGAGTGATTAAAGACTTCATATCTGTAGATGAAAGAAGAGGGAAAATGTTTGAATTTTAAAAGACCCGCTGTGAGCAATAAAGAAGGTAGGTGGTCAGTGAACTGGTTGAAGTTTTTAAACAGATATGAGATATCATCACCTGGTAGGAGTGAGGGGTTGTTATGAACAGATTGAGTTGCCTTGCTAAGTATATACGAAGTACATTATATTCGTTCGCATATAAGTTGAGCAGATTGGTTGGAACTAGATCCTGTGCCTGAGTCGGGGTTGTGGTGTAGCCAGATTAACCTTTCGTTTTTTCTTTCAGCACCTTGGGTAAAAAAAGAGATTATGAACCCGTGGTACGGACCAGTAAGACAAGGCTATTTGTGCCTTTTTTTGGGGGGTTGAGAAAGTGGGTTTGGCGACCTGTTGAACCTTATGGATAGGTTAAGATTCTGAACTTGACATCAAATTGGGAAACTTATAAGAATTTATTTTTGAGGCTTTAATTAGTTACAGAGAATTTGAAGTCATTTTTAGCAATGTAACAAAAATTGTGAACTAATGCAGTGCACCAAATACTTACTTTTTGAGCATATCTGGACCAATTGATTCCAAAAACACATCAAAACATAGTCAATTAAGTATATCCAAGACTTAAATGCATTATTACTATCATAAGCAATGCATTTGATTACATCATTGCATGTCACAATGTGTAACATGCAATGTGCAAAATGTAGTTTTATGTTTTTTTCTTTTTGGAATTTTGATACAGTTGTTTGAGGCAGTTGACTTATTCTATTGCAGATATTGTGGTGGACAACTGTGCTATTTGCAGGAACCATATCATGGATCTTTGTGAGTTTCAGCTCCACTTTCCACTGACATGACAAGTTTCCGTAGGGTCAATGCTCTGTCATAGTACATCTGTTTACTCTTCTTTTTATTTTGATTAGGTATCGAGTGTCAAGCTAATCAAGCCAGTGCCACAAGTGAGGAATGTACAGTTGCTTGGGGTACGTTGCTTATTCAAACCTGCAATCAAATGCATCGCCTTTCCTTTCTTTACCACCACAATTCTGATTTTTCCTAATATTATTTTACATATTAAATGTTTTAGGTTGCTTTAGGATATGTTTGGCATGTCATTAGCTACCTTAGTAGTTATCTATCAGCTTTTTGTGTTGTCGATTAACTTGTTTGATAAGCTTGAGCTTTAGTAAGCTTGCAGAAGTAGCTTTTCTAACAGGTTTATCAATTTTTGGTTTATATTTTCATTTTTATCTGTTTCCTTTAAAAATGTTACAAACATAACAGTTTATGGCTTGTTATACTCTCTTTATCTGGGTAAAAGGTTTCACATTTCCTTTCTTGTTTATCTCAAAATAAGGTTTCACTTTCATTAAACAAATGATTATAAGGTTTACAGCATTTCTCTATCAAATGCTTAACTTTCGACCACTTAATTTCGTCTTTCTTAACAAACGTGGAATCTTAGTTCGGGGCGGAGGGAGCATTTCTAAACTAGCTTTTTTGCTGATTTTTTACAATACACTATGCAAGATTTTCTAGCATAGCAGATGTAAGCTACTCCCTTTGTCCCACTAAGATTAGGACATGGGGTAGTGACACGAGAATTAAGAAAAGTAGTATTCTGTTGTTGATATTGATTTTTAAAAGCAAGAAAAAGTAAGAATGAAACTAATACACAGGTACTCACTTACTCATTACTTAATATGGTATGAGACAAAAATAGGGCAGACAAAGAGGTAAAAAGGAACACAGAGGGAGTATAAGTTTCTGATTGATGGGCTATCATATTTATTCTGGCTACGAACTACTTCTTTGTTGTCCTGGATGAATCATACAACAATGATAAAGTATCAAAATCAGTATAATCCCAACTCCGTTAGGATCTCAGGACTTAATTTGTGTGCGGCCTTACCTCTGTGAAAGAGGCTATTTTCAGTAGACCCTTGAATCCTTGATGCATTGCTGCATTTGCTACCTGAAACTTCATTGAAATTAAGATACTAAGATGCAGAGGATGTTGAATATGTAATTTTGATTTAGTTCATAACTAACCTGAAGCTAAAAAATGGTCAATAATGACTCTTTTAGCTCTGTTAAGTTTTAATCATATGTGATTGCATGGCTGATTTACATAAAAATAGTTGGTTTGCTATTGTTGTACTGCTTTAGATACTGAGCAGACTGAAACTTTTAAGTATTTATTTCTTCAATGACACGTTTTCTGTTTATAGGGGTTTGCAACCATGCATTCCACTTCCACTGCATTAGCCGTTGGCTCAAGACTCGTCAAGTGTGCCCCTTGGGTAGGTCTTCTGCACAGGATCTTGAACAGGATGAGTTACCCTCCAAGCGGTCCATATTTCAATCCGAAGGATAACATTGATTTTGAGATTGAATTTGGACGGTTGAGGGAGTAACTCTGCCAGATTCCCATTCTAAGGTGTTTGTAGAATTACTAATTCTCTTATTGTTTGTGTTTCAGACAATAGCGAATGGGAGTTTCAGAAGTACGGGCACTAAGGCAATTTGTCGTAGCGAGGTGAGTGTTGCTCAGATGGAAAAAGCACCTAAACGAACAGCCCTTATTTTCTGTTTGTGCAATCATGGAACAGATGATTTTATTCTGATTGTGCTGAATGTTTGTTTGCCATAAATTTATAGCCCATTTGATTGCTCATAGTATAGTGAGTTCTTGAGTTAAACAAACATGGCCAGTGTGTGTGCCCATGGTGTTTGTATTTTCAAGCATTTCCTTCTTTTAGCTCTTAGAATTTCATGCAGATCTTCACTCACACTAACATTTCCCTCCCAATCTAGAGTTTTTCCTTTTTCAACTTGTTTTCTGCTCAGTTAGTTTCAATTCAGCTCATCTATGGTACACTATCTTTCAAGTTTCACCTCATCAATTTCAATTTACCACCAAGGCTCCAACGTTTAGTTCAGTTATATTTTGTAAATTGTGGCTGAAAAGAATTAGACAACAACCGCAAGTAGAGAGTGTCTCTAAGAGAGTTGAGTGTGGGCACTCATCTTTACTCTTACTCGAAGGTAGAGTGTCTCCAAGAGAGACCCGAGTTCGAAAAACACATTGCAGAAAGCATAGAGCATAGCAAAAGAAACACAAAGAATGTTTAGGGTAAAGAGAAATTTACAATGAAACATAAAGCATCACACAAAGAAGCTAGGGCTGGGCACGATATTGGTTTTGGAACTGGTGGTACTGGTACATATTTTAGGGGAACTGGAACTAGTACTGTGTTGGGTGATTTAAGGCAATTTCGGTTCTGGTTCTGGATCCAAATATTTTTTTTAAATAAAATGTTGTTTGAAAAATAATATAATTGACTTTGAACTCTTGGTAGCAAATATTGTGAATCAACCTCAAACAAATTAAAAATAAGCATAAAAATATAAGAACATAAAAAATAAAATCGATTCTGGTTTCAGAGCAGTTTTGGTACCAAAAATTAAGAATTGGAAATGGAACCAACGGTTCTAAGCGATTCTAGTACTCTAACGGTTAGGTACTGGATTTGGTTCGAGAATCGCCAGCTTCGGTACCAGTTTTGATTTGAAATCATGTCCAGCCCTAAAGAAGTACATACAGATAAGTTTAAAAGAATAAATTTTATTATTGGCCCTTTAAAATATGAGTTTTTAAATTTTATTTTTTTATTACGAAGTATCAATTACTCTCTCCGTCCTATATCTTTCTTCCCGTTGCGCAAAACGAAGAAAAATCCCCAGTTTTTTCAATCTATTTTATTTAAATATTGGTATAGAAATAAAAAATAAAACATACATATTTAAAAACTACATCAAAAGTTCAACAAAATAAGTGGTGACAAGAATATTTTATTTTATCATATAGGCCATGAAAAAACACAAATAAATATAAATTCTCGTAAAATTGGAATAGTGCTCTGGGAAGAAAGATATAGGACGGAGGGAGTATTATGTAAGTCGACTGTTTTTATGAGTATCTTTTCACGGATAGTTCTTTTTTACCTTCCATCATATTAGTGTTAAATTAAGGATTAAAAATGTAATTTTACATTTATTCTATGTCCAATGGCTTATTCTGATTTAGGTTTGACGGACAACACAATAAAAATAACCTATTGGTTCCCATGACATTGATTACCAATGTCATGGGATTACACATGGCGCACCAGTATCTCGTTCATAAAATTAACGATTTTTACCCCCCTAATTCCCCCGGTAGACCCCCCACCCCGCCTTGACCCGAACACCCCTCGTTCGTAATTTTGTTTTACTGAATCAAAAACCAAACGTTTTTGTGATTGATATACCAATGTGCAACCATTGTTTGAAGACAAATTGGTGTCGTACAAATGATATGTTCTTCTGCACTAGTACAATATTTCTAAACTAGTGGAAAACATTGACCACGTACAAAAAGTAGTGGCTTTGAGAAGAGTGTTTGTTTAGAACACTATCAATTACGTTGGGATGCGATTTGATTTGTCTCGGAGACGCCTTTAGCGGGAACCAACTAAATGCTTGAGCTATGAGATCAAGTTAATCCTTATACTAGCCTAATTTAACGGGTTGATATCATCTGTTACAAAAAAAAAAAAAAATTAGAGGTATCATGTAAAAAGAAAATGAACTCAACAAAAAAGTGAGTTTATTATGTAATCCGTATTATTATTTATCTAATTAATTGATCATTGACATAATACATTATAATCATTGGATGAACGTAATTATTTTGATGCCTTAGTTAGAATTTTCCTTTGCGGGTATATATAAAGATATCATTAGAAGTACATTTTAAACTGGAACTCGATCTGCATCAAAACTATAGCCTCATTCCTCACTCTGTTTACAAGATTGTCAGGTAATTGATTCATCTTTGTTGTCTATAATGCTAAAGAATTTGTCAACATGTATTCTCTAACAACTGCAATATTTATTCACTAACTACAAGTAATTAGTGATTAGTGAAAAGAAAAAGAAAAGAAAATGGGATGAAGATTTAAATTTTCGTTCGTGGTTAAAAGAAAAAGAAAAGTAAAAGCTAAGGAAAATAAAATTCCTTCCATTTTGATAAAAAAAGAGAAAATATTTTCATTTCTTTTTCCTCATAATTTCCTTAACCAAACACAGTGTAAGAGCTTATCATGCAATTTATGAATTCTTTGCAAAATATCAATGATATTGTTTTACTTTGAATCGAATTGAAATTATAGTTTAATTTATCTTTATTGGTCTAGTTAATAATATCCTCAATGCGGAAGAACCATTAAAACATTGTCTTTAATTTGGTGGGAACAAACTAATTGTTTGAGCTATGAGATCGAGCCATTTCTCAATGGGCATACCTTTTTTTCATATAGCATAATATAACTCAAAATGGTTCTTTTGATTCTTGAACCTCATATCATATAATGACTCGAAACTCATACAACTCCCCTAAAATTGATGATTTCCACCTCCCAGAACCCCCCTAAACCCTACCCCCTATTGCCTACCTGTCCCCTTGCCTTATTTTGCCGATTGGCCCCCTACATCCGATACAATGTATTTTTAAGTACTGCAATACCATAATCTTTTTGAAAAATATTTTATAAAACGAATCTAGTTAAGTATGTTTTTGTTATAATAACTACTAATCTGTAATGTTATTTTTATTTAATTAATGATCAAAAAAATATTTCAAAATATTAACAAAAAATACGCCCTAATGAACACCAATTTAGAACAAAAAGAAAAAAAAAAGAAAAAGAATCAAGGATGATAGGTAAAATGAAAAGTAGTAGAGATTAGCGAGACAGCGAAGAATGCTCTTTATGTGATTCAAGTGACTTCCCTTTATAGTCTTTTTTTTTTGTGCTTTTAAAAAAGGGAGCAAAATAACTCACCCAAGTACGTACTTCACCATTTATAAATTAATTAAGCTATCTTACATTACATTATGCTTTGCCATTAACCCTTTTTGAAAAAAAGAGGAGGGATGAGCCTCATCCTATCCTTGAGGACTCCCTCAAAATCATGCACACAATTACTAAGAAGAATAAAATAGATTTTAGAGAAATTTACCTAAATAGAACTAAAACATAATGACTGTCCCAATATAGGACCATATGTTTTTATTTTCCAATGTAGGACTTTTGGTCATTAACAAGTAGTCATTATTCAAGTAAATGTCTAGCATTACTGGACATTATTCCTCCCACGAGGTCATTATTAAGTCTTATTTAGGGAATAAAAAAGCTTAAGTCCTACATTAGAAAAGTCATTATGTTTTAGTCCTATTTAGTGCAAATTTCACTAGATTTTAATTATAGATTTATGTCAAGAAATAGAACATGCATCTAGTATCTTATGTTTTGGATAAGCTATTAACCCCTTTTGAAATTGTGGTGTAGTTGAAGTAGATGCGTACTCTTCTATTTAATAAAAATCTCAATTTTGAAATTCTTTATAAATTGATTGAACATTTCTACTTGAACACTCTTTGGTCTTTGTATTTTTATTGTAGTTATTAACTTCAATACTCTTGGGTCTTTGCATATTTCTTCTTTGGTCTTTGTTTTTTACTTACTACATCTGTCCTAAAAAACTCTTGTTTAAAAAAAGGCATGTCGTTAAAACGGATAATTTTGACATTATTTTTTGATTTTGTCCTTATTTTATACGGAGTAATAAAGTATGTCAAGGATATGATGTGTTATAATTTGTAAATAATGTCAAACCCATACATTCCTAAGGCACACTTTTCTCGAACAGAAAAAGTTTTTTGTGGCGGAGAGATTATAGATTATAAACTTTTTATGCTATTCGTTATTCGTATAGGAGCATTTATTTTTTTCTTTCCATCGTTCAATTTTTATTCTTAGAAGAAATTAGTATTACTACCAAATAAATGACATAATTACAAGATGACATGTTTTAAGCTGTCAAACATTAATGGGTTTATAGAAAATGAGATGATAAAATTCAAAAACGGAATAGTGAATATAATAAAAATCAAAGAAGAGTGAATGTAGGAAACCACATATATTATTTTAATAATAATAATAATACGATTTTACTCCTTATCACTCACTTAATCTCGAACTAAAAATTAATTAACCTCCATACATACTCCATCCATCCACTAATTTCTTTCTCCATCTCCTTTTTGGGACTCCAAAATTTTTTTTCTCGTTTTCTATTTTGACAAATTTTTTAATGAATGTATTTTATGCTCCCATTTTTTATTTGCACTATTTACTTTATTTCATCATATTAAGGGAAAAACATGGGTCTTTATATTTTTTAACTTTTCATAATCTTTATGTCAAGTCAAACCAGAAAATTTTTTTGGGCAAGGGGAATAGTTGAAAATGGACTCTCTTTTTCTTCGAAACCAGTATTTGAGAATGTAATGACAACACTTATGTGACCATGAGTCGTTGAGTATGAACTTCAAAATAAATAGTCGGATTAAATGGGTCACAAAACACTTTCTGACAACTAGGCTAAGACTTATGAGCCGCTAGAACTGAATGCAGAGACCAAAATCTTGACAAATGAGATTCTATAAAACCTGGCTCTCAATCGATTCAAAATTCTATTGCCTCCTTTTCAAAAGGAAATATATTTCTTACTAATTAAAAGTCACGAAAACTTTTATTTTTATATATACCTTTGAGTTAATTATTTGAAAAAACAAGTATTTTTATTATCTCTTCATTTTACATAAAATGTACTCCGTATACTTCAAAAATTGTACTTTTAACTTCTACGAAGCAGTTTAAAAAATTGAATTACCCGAGTTCTCATGCGGATGAGGACGACCTTTTTTCTCTCTAGTGGCATTAAGAGTAAAAAGGACAAATTCCAAGCCTTTATCTACAACTCCCCATGTTTATAATCACGACAAATTCTGTCCGTTGTGCTGTATAGTGCCCAACTGCCCATTCCACCGTCCGTTTCTGCCGCAATGGGCTCCGCCGTACTTTGGTTCGCCACCGTCTCTGTCCTCCTGCTCCTCCGCCCTTCTCCGGCGACCTCGAAGACAACTTACATCGTCCACATGAAACACACCGAAAAGCCTGCTTTGTTCCCGACCCACCGGGACTGGTATGCTGCCAATCTACAGTCGGTATCCTCCGCTTCAGATTCACTTCTGTATACCTACACCACCGCCTACCACGGCTTCGCCGCCGCTTTGGATCTGGAGGAGGCGGAATTGCTCCGCAAGGCTGACGGTGTTGTTGGGGTCTACGAGGATCCGGTTTACGCTCTGCATACCACCCGCACGCCGGGGTTTCTGGGACTGGAAACTGTTTCCGGCGGCCTTTCTTCCGGCCACGGCTTGCAGGAGCTCAACTTGGCCACAAAGGACGTCATCATCGGAGTGTTGGACACCGGCGTGTGGCCGGAATCGAAGAGTTTTAGCGATTTTGGCATGCCCCCAATCCCAACCCGGTGGCGTGGGAAGTGCGTAGCCGGGCCAGATTTCAACCCGAAGGTCCACTGTAACAAGAAGCTTATCGGAGCCCGTTATTTTGCCAGAGGATTCCACATGGCTTCCGGCATGGGGCTGATAACGGAGACAGAATCACCCCGTGATACGGAGGGTCACGGGACCCACACCGCCAGCACCGCCGCTGGTTCCTATGTGGCAAACGCTAGCCTCTTCGGTTACGCCGCCGGCGTTGCCCGCGGGATGGCCATCCACGCCAGGGTCGCTGCCTACAAGGTGTGCTGGACTTCCGGGTGTTTCGGGTCGGACATCCTGGCCGGGATGGAACAGGCCATCCTCGACGGCGTGGACGTTCTCTCTTTGTCCTTGGGCGGCGGCTCTGTTCCCTACTACCGTGACACTATTGCAATTGGAGCATTTTCCGCAATTGAGAAGGGGATTTTTGTCTCTTGCTCAGCCGGAAACAGTGGGCCAAGTAAGGCGACGGTGGCCAATGTTGCTCCTTGGATCATGACGGTCGGAGCCGGAACAATTGACCGCGACTTTCCGGCATATGCAACATTGGGTACCGGAAAAAGGCTCGCCGGAGTGTCCTTGTACAGCGGGAAAGGATTAGGGAAACGGCCGATCGGATTGGTGTACAGCTCCGGAAACAGTACTTCCGGCAATTTGTGCCTCCGCGGCTCTCTGGACCCGAAATTGGTCAAAGGAAAAGTGGTTCTGTGTGATCGGGGGTCCAATCCGAGGGTGGAGAAGGGAGAGGTGGTGAAGGAAGCCGGCGGGGTGGGGATGATTATAGCCAACACGGAGGCCAGCGGGGAGGAGCTGGTGGCGGACAGCCACTTACTGCCGGCGGTGGCGGTGGGGAGGACTGCGGGAGACGCCATAAGGGACTACGTAAAACGAACTAAGAATCCCACGGCGGTGCTCGGCTTCGGTGGCACGGTTCTGAACGTGAAACCGTCGCCGGTGGTGGCGGCGTTCAGCTCGAGAGGGCCCAACACGGTGACCCCGGAAATATTAAAGCCCGATGTGATTGGGCCTGGTGTTAATATCTTGGCAGCTTGGTCCATGGCTACGGGGCCCACTGGGCTTCAGCAGGACACCAGGAGAACCCCATTCAACATCCTCTCTGGTAAGCGTTTCATAACGTACACTTTTCCCGACCATTTATTTATTTTTCCTGAATATCTCAAGCTATCATTTCTTGCATTTATTGTTTCCAGAACAACGTTTTCAATTAGTTCTAATGTTTTAGATAAATTTTAATGATACAGATTAATTATGAAAATGTTAAATCTAAACATAATTGTTAGATGATGTACTCAAGCGAGTTAAACTTGCTTAATCCTGTTCATAGGTCAAGGATTATTGGGTAAATTACGACTTATATTTTCAAAACTCATTTATTGGTTTAGTTAATATTTTCAAATTTTATAAATCAAGTGATTTTCAAGAGAGTTTAATGTGAAGAAGTTCAAGTTCAAAGTAGTTTGTGCCGTTGAGAGTAAATTATTCAAAGAAATTGTTTTCAAGAATTCATCAATCATTGAAAGGCTGTTTTGACTTTAAAAATTTTTTTCAAACAAAACCATAATGTGGCATTTATTGTCAACCAATGTAAACTCAAACTTATCAGTAGTTAAACTCATCTTTCATTCTGTAATATCATAATCTCATATTATATAGTAAATGAGTCATCAATGCTTCACCTAAATCCCATGATTATAGGTAATTCAATACATTATAAACAGACTTTCTTGCCCTCATCAATAAATGTAGTCTTGTTGAGAGCCCATAACCATCATGGATTTGTCATTCATCTCTCATTGGGCCCATTTTTTGACCCAATGATAAATCCACTGCAGGAACGTCGATGTCTTGTCCCCATATTAGCGGGCTGGCCGCTTTGCTCAAAGCGGCCCACCCCAACTGGAGCCCGAGTGCAATCAAATCCGCACTCATGACCACCGCATACACCAGGGACAACACCAACTCCTCCCTCCGCGACGCCGAGGGGAACAAGCTCTCGACCCCGTGGGCCCACGGATCGGGCCACGTCAACCCCCACAAGGCCCTCAATCCGGGCCTCGTCTACGACATCCGCCCGGCCCACTACGTCAGGTTCCTGTGCTCTCTCGGCTACGCCGAGGAGCACGTCGAGGCGGTCGTCAAGAGAGCGAACGTGACGTGCGACCGAAAGTTCGGGGACCCCGGGCAGCTGAACTACCCGTCGTTCTCGGCGGTGTTCCGAGACTCAAGGGTCGTCCGGTACACCCGGGAGCTGACCAATGTGGGGCCCGCGGGGTCCGCGTACGAGGTGGTGGTGGACGCGCCGCCGTCGGTTTGGGTCACGGTGAAGCCGAGGAGGCTGGCGTTCCAGAAGGTGGGGCAAAAGTTGAGGTACACAGCCACTTTTGTGTCCAAGAAGGGTGTGAAGGGTCCTAAGAATGAATTTGGATCCATTTCTTGGAAGAATGCAGAGAATCAAGTGAAGAGTCCAGTCGCTTTCTCTTGGGCCCAACTCTCATAGTGATTGATTATTACATTCTATATATTTGTCTAAGTTGTAGTGGAGGGGATTATGGGCCTTTGGTTTCCTAACAAACTATGCAGGCCCAAATGTCAATTTAAATTAAGTACATTCCGGAATGTGGATTTCATGAACTATCTGGGAAAAAAGGCAAATGAGAGTGGACTTTGTGTTGTGTTTGGTACTACAAAAATGAAATTTGGGATGCATGACCCACTAAAATAAATCAATTGAAGAAAAATGTTTGGTAGGAGTAGACTTGGACACGGACCGGTTCCAGATTGGTTTTGGTTTTGGTTTTGGAACTGCTAGGACATGGTTCCACCACCAGTATCAGTGGTTGGTGGAACAGGGTTTGGAACCGGTCAGTGCAGTTCTAGCCCCTACTTTATTACAGAGTATTATTTTTTGTTAAATTGATTTTCTTTGTTCAAAATTGGTATTTCATGTGTCAAATTAATCTTTACAGTTAATATATGCCCTTTTAATATTTCATGTTCATATCCATGTTTTCATTGCTAATTTGATAAATTGATACATTTTACAGAATTTAAAATGTAGTTTCAAATGATGCAATTCGTACTTTTTTATTTTATCATTTTGTAAATAAAACAATTTTAAAATAAACGAGATTTTGATATTCTTACAACACCAAGGTTCCCATGACATTGGAACCCAATGTCATGGGATGACCCGGGGGTGCTCCGGTGCCCCGTTTGTAAAATTGACGGTTTCTACTCCCCCTAACCCTCAGTAAACCCCCCCCCACCTCACCCCGACCCGAACACCCCCTACTCCCGTCAATTGTACCCCCCACAAGTTGATTTTGACTTTGGAGTATGGAATTGTATACAAGTCACAGTTACATTTCATACCTTGACAGTTAAAAAAATGACAAGGTAAAAAATAGTTTCATACCTTGATAGTGAGAATGGGATCGTGAACCTATGTGTATGGTCTAAGAGCATGTCTAATTTTGGGATACAAATGGATCGTAAAAAAGACTCATGCCACTTCAAAAAAAAGTAGAATTTAAAACTACTCGGTCTATGCTTGGTCCCTGGTGGGACGGTTCCTTGGGACTGACTAATTCATCTCCAATGCAAAAAAAAAAAAAAAATCAATGTGGGATGCCACATATGAGAGAGATTGAGACTTGATACTCTCTTTTTATACAGCGGACATGTTTTAAGGAATCGGCTTTTGTAATTTCTGAATAGGTAAGTGCTAGTAAGAGGTCTGAACCATTAAGTGCTGAACCAACAAAAGGTCTGAACCATTAAGAGCTAGTATATTGCTTAACTATTCAGAGACAAATGTCTGATCAATTCAGATAAGAGGTCTTAATCATTCAGACTCTATATAATACTTAACCATTTAAAGGCAAATGTCTGAGTTATTCAGACATCTGAACCATTAAGAGGCTGAAACAAACAGTCTGAACCATTAAGTGCTGAACCATTCAGACATCTGAACCATTAAGAGGCTGAAACAAACAGCCCCTAAGAAAGAGATATGAAGGGGAGAATATGATAAAGCAAATTCTTCTATTGACCTAAGATTCATAATCATTATATAGATCTTAGTGCATTAGTAACATAAAAGAAGTGGATATTTTCATAAAAGAAAATATTCACATGTAAACTCATTAGAAATGTAAGAAGCTCTACATTTTAAATGTGAACTTTGAACTAATGTAAGGGCACTGGTAATGGGCATCACGCCCACCGGCGTGATCGCNGTTAAACACCGCCCCCCATCGGCTTCATCCGGGCGTCACTCGTTCGGTGTCACTCGTTTGACGAAACTCCCCTCTCCCCTAACGGCTAATTTAGCCGTTGTAAACAAAAAAAGAAAAATTAATTTATTTTCTTTATAAATTTCAAACTCCCCCCTCCCGTTCTCACACCTTCAATCTTCTTCACACATTCTTCAATTTCAAACTTCCCCCTCTCTTTTGAACATGAATCCTTCCGGCTCCGACTTCTTTCTCGACAATCTCGAGCATCACGATGCCGCGATGTGGTATTTCCAAGAATTCAGGAATCATCCGCCGATGTTCGAGACGCAACAATCGGGGTACATCGAGCGAGATTCGGTTCCGGAGATTCAACCGGAACCATCCGGCTCCAAAAAAAGTACACGCCGGAAAAGCCACAAAGCATAATTAAAAGTACACGCCGGAAATGTATTTTTTTTATTATTCGTGTTTCAATATTATTAAATAATAAATTAATTACATTTTATTAATTTAGTTTTAAAAGATGTATATTTAAAAATGTAAAAAATGAAGATTTGAAGCCCCGGGGCTTCAAACCCATTTCCAGTGAATCTGTGAGGTAAGTTAAAGCTGACGTGACAGAGAGAGAAATTTTGAAGCCCCGGTTTGAAGCACCGAGGCTTCACGGGTATTTCCAGTGCTCTAAGTATCACTTACTCATAGAATGATGTGGAGGGGGAAAGAAGAAAATAATGAATAGAAAGAGGAGAAAAATAGTAAGAGTTTAGAAAGGGAAATAATATTCCCTAGAGAGAAAAATGTGATTTACAATTTATTTTTTTTTAAATTTTTTTTGTACAAATGAAGATTACAAAAAAATATTGAGAAATAAAAAAGAATGAACCCCATTTTCGAGAGCTCCTCAGACTCGGCGGGACGGTCATTGAGAGGAGATAAAATGAACTTTAATCGTAGATTGGTCAAAGAATAGAACCTGTACTTGGTATTTGTAGAGAATCTATACTTAACATCATTGTCTTTGAGAATAGTTGTGAGGACTCAAAGAAAGAACACGGAGTACTAGAAATGCAACAAAAACGACAAAAGGTCTCCTTGGATACCCCATTTTAATGTGAGACCCAAGGGTTAGGTGTGAGCCGTTTAGTAGGTGCATTTCAAGTTTTCAACCTTCTTGGGACTACACCACTTTTTCATTCCAATTTCCAAGAAACAAACCCACCAACAAACCAGATCCCAAACCAGGACACAACCTCAAAAATCTCCCTGTTTTTAGACGGCCCCTGAAAAAAGCCCACGGAGAGAAATTCATGACAAATACTCTAACTCAAAAATTTGTTTTGTTCAATGTAATGTTGCAATCCTTTTGAGTCGGGAGAGTAATTATTTCCAGAAAAAAAAGACTACCATGAAGTGATTCATTTTCATTGTCTCAGCTAAACAAAAGAAAGTGAAAATGACTTTCTTGATAACAAAAAAAACACACATTAGCGTTGATGGCCAGATCAAATCGTTCATCAAGACGTGTGTGTATTTTCTGGATTATTTTCAAAAATTTTAAAGTCGTTTTCCTTCTTCGCAAACCGAACTTCAAGTGAACAACTTTGAATATACATTTAACACTGATGTAATTTTGGAGACATTATGCAAAAAAATGTTTCAGATGATTGAAGAACATGTACTAGAAACAACACAAGTTAAAAGGATTGCAGCAGCATGAGGAGCAATTTGTACAGCAGCTGCTGCAGCTGCAACAATTTAGCTTTGGACATTTGACCGGAAAACAGCAGCTGCAGCATCTGCCGCTGCATTTGCAGCGGCAGGAGCACTTAAAACACGAAGAAAAAGAAGGGTTCGGGCATTTCGGCGTACAGCAGCTACTGCAAGAACAAGTCCAGCAGCACTTGTTGCTGCAGCAACCAGAAGATGTTGCATCCCGGCAAGAGCAGCAACGCCCACATTTGGGCAACGAGCAGCAGGTGGGACCCACCTTGCACGCAGAGGAGCAGCTGGGGCATGATGGAGAAGGGCATTTGGTGCATGACGGAGAGCAGCAGCTGATGCAGGAAGATGGTCTGCAGGAAGGGGTTTTGCAAGAAGAAGGGGGAGAGCAGCAGCAGCAGGAGGAGGAGAAGCAGGAAGGGCATTGTGGAGTGCAGGTGCAGCTTGAGCACGAAGGCATCTTGATGCGAGGACAGGGACAACAACATATCCATGACATGCTGAAACATGACGCCCCGCTACAAGAGATGGTAAAAATAAAACTGTTAAAAATATTGGAAAAAACAGTTCTTGGTCTTCGACTACAAGCTTGAGCTTTTGATGGAATTGATTCTTTCATATTGTGCTCATAAGATCAGGTCTATGAACGATGAAACACTAATAATCTGCAGCATTTACTTGTCTCAAAATGATGTTTTATATGTACCACAACAAAGTTTAATGGCCGTGTGACATTTATGAAGCTGCAAGGTTGAATCAAGTTCTAAATTCCCAAAGATTAAATTTTTAAGACTAAATTGCTGCTTGCTCTTGTTACTGATGATGATATAAATGAGAGTTTGAGGAGAGCATACCATATCCATTTCCAGATCCGAGAGCATCTCCTGGTTTTCTTGATTCTGACATAATCAAGAAAAGTTCCAAAAAACCGAAAAAACGAGGTTAGACCACCTTATTATGCACATTTTTTGTTCTAAAAAATGCGCATCCATCTTGTTTGTGGGTGCAGACAGGTAGAAATAAGTGTATAGGTTATGATGTCTTACGTTGGCAAAAGAGGATCCGGATGGGCTAACACAAAATCGGTGACCCTGCAAGTCCCAAACTTCTTCAGCTTAGAGTGAAGAAATGAACAAAACGTGTTGAGATAACCAATTAAAAGATCGATTTGAATTACGTACTCTTTACATGAGCGGGAAGCAGGTTGTAGGCGGTCCACAAATTTCAATTCTTCCTGCTCGCACAAGAACAATCGAAAACAGGTTACGACGACATGCAACAGGCATTAAAAAAAGAACTACAGATGGAAAGTAGAAACCCAATGTGCCATATGATTTCAAGGATTTTAGCTATCAGCAAGCTGGGAGACCTTTGGGATGATCACATATTTTCAAGGAATAAGTGCAATTAGGAGAAGATATTAATTTTTCTATAAAAAGAAGTGTTTGCCAAGAAAATGAGAAAAGTTTACTTCTTTCTTCTTAAAGAAGACTTGTGTTTGTTCACTTTTGAATCCTATGAAAAGCATTTGGCACGCCGACAGGCAACATGGTAATACCATTTCAGACCCTTTGAATTTAGCAAAATAATGAGCAAACAACACCAGCAACCCGAGAACGTTTCCGTTAGACCCTTCATTGAAGATAACAAGCAAATGAAGTTTGATATGTCATTGTGATATAATGTCCTCAAATGAGCAAATTGTCAAAAATTTCAAATCTACCAAGAGAGTCTACAATATAATTAGCATGAATGAACACACAACTTGCCCAGCATATTGACAGAAAGGACCAATTTCTACTGTCAAATGATAATGAAGCTCAAAATCTGGTTAAATATACAATCCCAGAAAGTCAAACATATGATTAAGCAGAGAAGCTTATACCAAGTCATGAACAAGAGACAACCTTAAAAATAATCAAAAGCTTATCCCAAGTCATGAACAAGAGACAACCTTAAAAATAATCAAAAGACATGATTTTAATCCACTAGCTTAACTACATAGGAAAAGCCAAAACAAGAATTCAGACTCTATGCAGAAGAATATGTTGCAGAAGAAGCTACACTACACAAAAGAGGCAATGAAAAGGACAGCTTAAGTTACCAAAATTGCACAATTTGTTTTTACCACTGTGAAGATTTTCAACATTCTGTAAATAAAATCAGTGTACACTCAGGAAAAAGTTGCCATCTTTGAGATTTCCTCAACAACCCACACATCCTTTTTTTGGCAATTTCCCAGAAAACATAAACCATAACTCATCTTTGTGAATAAAATAAAAAAAATCAGCAACCCATCTTTTTAATTTAAAAAAAGAACTCACCTGAAGAAGGCCAATTTCCCTCTCAAGCATCTGGACCCTGGCCAATTCCCGGCGCTTCCCGTACAAATCCGGGTACCGCGGCGGCGATTTGGGCTGAGGCGGTGGCAGAGTAGGCACGCCGCCGCCACCTCCAGAACCAGCCATTTCCCCAAGGTTTCACCACCACCAACCCTTAAAAAGGTGGGTTCTTGGGGTGTCACACACACACCACTCGGACATGTACTGAAAAAAAGAACTTGAGTACTACTACTAAAAACAGTTCATCCCATGATGCATGGTTTTCAACGCTGACAACATTAATGTGTGCCTCTCTTAGGAATATATACAAACACATAGGTACATATTGGAGTGGGGTTTTGGAGAAAGGAAGAAGGACTGGCGGAGGAAAAATTATTACTGAGCGTTTGGTTGCTCTGCTCTGGCTGGCAGGTGAGAAGCTAATTGAGAGAGAGAGAGAGAGAGAGAGATTATTAGAGAGAGAGAGTGTGTGTGTAGCAGACTGCAACAAAAGTTTTGTGTGGAGAAAATAATAACAACAAAAAATCAGAGCAGTGGTGACAGAGCTCTCTCTGTATCTCTACTATGAACATGAAAATTAATGTGTTTTTTTACACCAAAAATTGTTGTCCCCATGCAACAACCACTGTGAATTTCTTTCTTTTTCTACCCTCCACTATGTCTGCCTAATGCCATCAGGGAAAAAAAGTTAAAGAAAAAAAAATTTAAAGGTTGCTATTTGCTAAGACTGGGAAGCACAAAAATGGAGAAACCGTCTCTTGTGTTTTGATGAATCTTTGAATGGAAAGGAGGGGTTGTTAATTAAAGCATGCGTCTGTTCATGTTTCCATTTATTAATGAAAATAAATATTCCATACGGAGAATTAATAAGAATTTAATCTTTACAGAACCCGTCCATCTTTTCATGGAGCACAGTTAGTACAGTGGTAGAAACAAAATTTAATGAAGGCTCATTTATTTTTATTTTAAATAATAAAAATTATATAAGTATATATAGAAAATTCTAATCATAGTAAAGAATTATGGTTACGATAGAATAAAGAAGTAAATAATAATAATAATAATCTGTTTTCTATTATCTCCGCAAGCTGAACATTGTTAACAAGTGTCTCTTTGGAGTAGAAGTACTGAAGTGAAGTCGGTAGAAGTGGTTTTGTGAGGAAAACCGCTAGAAGTAGAGAGACATATCTTTAAATTGTTACATGACGAACGAGCTTTAGGATATGTTTGTTGAATTTTTCATGGGAGAGTGTTGGCGATTGGAGCGAGGACGACGTGATGGCAATTTAGAGCTTTTTTTCTCCTCTATCGTGTTTCATTCCCTCTAACTCTAGAAGAAATACAAACAAATGTTGTTTTTCAGATTTTCAAACACGCACACAAGGGGATAATGAACGTTGGCGAATAGATTCGCTCATAATTTTTTGAAGAAAAACAGGGATATGAGATAGCAAGGTCATGATCTGTGACATTGTCAATAATGAAGAGATTGAAGACTGGCGGTGGCGCACCGTTGAAAGAAACATAAGCTCTGATACATGATATAATTTGATAGTATTTGGTCTTATTGAATAATTAAGATTAAATGACAATATATAGAGACTACATAGAAAATCCTAGTAAAAGTAAAATGGTAAATTATGGTAACAATAGAATAAGTAAGTAAATAATAATAATAATAATAATAATAATAATAATAATAACAATAACAACAACAACAACAATGAGAAAAAGCAATGATAATAATATTTTTTTCCTAATAAAACTCAACCACAAATAGAGGAGCACAAAAATTTTGAGAGAAGAATATGTTTGTATTCAAAGCTTCTGCTTAACTACAAAGACAATTTCTTTATATACATCTTGGTTCAAATGACATTGAGAACCAATGTCATGTGATGACCCGGGGGTGTTCCGATGTCTCGTTCGTAAAATTGACGGTTCCTACCCCCCTAACCCCTCCGGTAAACCCCCACAACGCCCTGACCCAAACACGCCCCCACCCCCTCTTATTGCACTCCCAAGTTGATTTTAACTTTGGAGTCAAATTTTGACTCCAATAAAGTTGCTTGTTAAATTATCCATACCCGAGCCCAAACATTTTGGGAGGGGGGGGGGGGGGACGTCACTATTTATTTTCCCCCAATTTTTGTGTATTAAAAGAGGACTTGTAACAACCATGCTAGGGGTTCCCTAAAATTGCACTGATATTTTTTTGCTAATGTAAATCATTCCACTAACATTACACTAGCAGAAAATGTCAGTGCATGCCTTTGAGGTACAAAATAAGATATAAATTTTGGTGTACAAATAGCTTCATCCAATTGGTAATATTGCTTAGGTTGTGAGTGGAATGAGAGCACTGGAAATACCTTTGAAGCCCGGCGCTTCAATATTTCTCTCTCTGCCACGTCAGCTTTAACTTACCTCACAGTTTCACTGGAAATGAGTATGAAGCCCTGGGGTTTCAAACCTTAATTTTCTTAATTTTTTACTACATATTTTATAAAATTAAATTAATAAAACTTCATTAATTAATTAAATTTAAACGGTACTAATTCATTAAATAATTAACATTTAATTAAAAAATTACATGAATTAAAAACTTAAAATAAAATAAATTATATTTAACCTTGATCTCGTTATGTCTTCTCTTGCAAGAAAATTATATTCGTTTGGTCGTTTGACTCGAGACCGGACAAAGGAGCATTAAAACTGAAGAGATTCATATTAAAAAAGATGAAAAAAATTAATTTTTTTTTAATTTGAAGATGATAGAGGAAAAGATTTTGTGGTGTTTGTTTTTTTTTTAAATTGAAGAAGAAAGATTTTATTTATGAGTTTTATATTTAAAAATGAGTTAATACTGAAGAGTTTTATTTGTAACGGCTTTAGCCGTTTGAAGTGAGGGGTACGTTAGGGAGTGAGACTGTAGAAGAGCTAGGCGTGGTTTTACAAGCAGTAGACAAAAGGGAGAGCATGCATCGTCATAATGGTAATCGTGCGTGGTGAAAAAGGCTGCAAATAAAAAAGGAGACTCATTCATTCTCCAAAAGGTGAAATCGCTTACCCCGGGCGTCCCTCACTCCCGACCCAATGGGGATTGTGAGAGGAGGTAAATCACGGTGACCCAAACACAACACTTAGCTAGACCATATCCTAGAGGATAAGGCTCATTTATGAGGGGTTCTTCAGAGTTTAGACCCGATAAAACAATCACTAAGAAAAGATAAAATAAATTTTGATCGAAGATTAATGAGAAAAAATAAAACTCATACTTGATACTTATAAAGATCTTATGCTTAACATAATTATCTCTCTACACATTATAGTTTAAAAAAAAAGAAGAGAAATTAAAGAGTAAAAAGAGTGAGTTTGAAGTAGAGGGCGGGGTTGGATGGTGATGGTGATGGAGGCTCTGCAGAATTTGCAGTGAGAGGCGAAAAGCTCGACGCAGTCGTCAGTCAGATGGCACGTGACTCTGGGTCACCCCACAGATATTGCCCGCACATTCCGCTCCCACTATTTAATGACTTTCCAATTCCTTTACCCATTTCTATTACCCGCACATTCCACTATTTAATGACTTTCCAATTCCTTTACCCATTCCGCTCCCACTTTAATTTATTTTTTACCGGAGTAGTTCGGCTAGAATCATCTAAAATATACCACCTCTGTCTCAAAGTATTTGTCTACTTTCATTTTTGCACACCATCCAATACATTTCTTTAATCCATTTTATCTTGTAATTTGTATATTAAAAAATTATAGAAATTATATATTAATAATCTATATGTTAAGACAAATTAAACAAGATCACACATGACTATATTTAGGCTTACACATTGAGAGAATTTGATGAGTCAAAGTGCTTAAATGAACAGTTCTAAAAGTCAAAAGTGGACGAATATAGCGGGATGGAGGGATTAAAATCGGAAAACAAACCTTTTACATTCTGGTCCAGATATGTTTTTTTTCTGATCTGATACGAGTAAAAATTGGAAAATGCAAAACCTATTCTTAAATTTTTTTTCAAATTGTTTTAACTTGTTTTTTTGACAACTTTGTTTGATTTGAATTTATATCAACCCTAGTCTTAATTTTTATATCCGTTGGGCATGTTTCAAAATATGGAGTATTATACTACTGTAGAATATCTTTTTTATTAACAATACGATAATTTTTAAATGGGTGTTATACTTTTGTTAGTTTGTGAGATTTCAAACATATTCCGTATTACAAAATTGTACTTTAAAATATTTTATTTTTATCAATAATTAGTTAAATGTCAAAGTATCTAAAAGTGAAATACTTTTAGTTTCTTTAAAAAATGCGAAGTATGTATTACATTTAAAAGATTATACTCAATATTAAAGTAAGAAGGAAAGATGAAAAATAAAGTTGAATTTATAATTACATACTCTGTAATATAGGTAGGTATTAAAATTAAAAAATTAAAATAATTATAATCTAGTCCTACCGACCGCTCTGAAAACTATCTGGTCTTGGACCAAAATAAACCAGAATTTTACCGGTCCTTATTGTTTAGACCAGAGACCGGTCTAGCTCGGAATTGGTTTTTCCAATCTGGTCCAATTTTCTGGTCCGACTCAAATTTTGTACGTACACTTCTAGCTAAAGATAAGTTCAATTTAACATTTTATTACTCCCTATTAATTTATTGTTGTATCAATATTTAAAAGATACCGCACTAAAAAAATATTTAAGAGGTAGAATAAACAGGAAACTTAAAATAATTTACAAATTTGGAAAAAAAGGTATTGCTATATCACTCCCATTACGGCTATAGCCACTCGATTTATAGTTAAGTGGACAACTTTCGACTTAAAAGACAAAAAGGGATCTTAGAGGTTAGTAAACTTTTAGGAATAAATTTCTCCATTTTACATAAGTAGAGTGGATTTAACCATTATAAGAGTAGATATAACTACATCCTTTTAAAAAACGCAAGTGTAAACAACATTGGTACTTGGTAGTGCATTTAGAATCTACTTCGTAATACTCTCAGCTCTTCTTAACGATGATATTCAATTTTACTACAGATGAGATCTAAATATTATCTTGACGAATAATTGAAATGATTAATTAAGTTATAATTTAGATGAGTTAAATTTAAAGAAATCAATCATGCTAGGAGTAAAGTATAAAGAAAAGTACAAATATAAGATTTTTATATTTAAAATAAGACTATTGTCATGTAGTAATTTGACACATAATATTGGTATTCTATAGTATTTTTCGGTATTATATGTCGATATTATTGACATAGTAACTCCGTATTTGGAATAAAATATTAAGGTTTTTATTTTTGTATTTTCTCCATATTTTACTCTTGGTTTAATTTTTCCCTTAAAAATTATTGAAAAAATACTCTCATCACTCAAAAGAGACTCATCACCAAGATTAATCCATTTGGTCCGTCATAATGAAATTTATTTTGTACAAATATATAATACTCCCTTTATCTCAAAAACTCTTTCTTTTTTCAAAAAATCTTTTCTCTTTCTATGAAAAATCATTTTTACTCTTATTAATTTTTACCTTATCCATTACATCGTATTTTTTTTACTAATAATCTAACAGGCTAGTCCAAAGGGGCACCATTGGCTCTATTCTATGGTCTAGGGTTTCACACCTTTCTAGGTCAATTACATCTTTTCCTGCTCCCAAAACCAAGAGAGAAGAACTAGAAAATGTATACTTCCTCTGTCCCAAATTATTTGCCACATTTGTATTCTCAAGGCAAAATATCAAATTTTTTCAATTCATTTTATTTACATATAGGTAAAAAAATAAAAAATAAAATTTACATATAAAAAAATTACATGAAAAGTTCTTTGAAATAAGAGGTGTCAACAATATTTTATTTTATCAAATAATCAATGAAAAGGTCGAAATAAACAAAAGTTCCAACACTGCTGAAAAAGCAAATGTTGTGAATATTTAGGGACGGAAGGAGTATAAATGTATAAGAGAATAGAGAATCAATGGACGATGCACTATTTTCATGATGAAATGGTTACTTTGCTCTCTAAGATCTGTCTGTGATCTACGATTTGTTTTCCTATCACATTTTACTTTTACCAATCACATCAAAGATATTTTTAGAAAGTCAACACAAAATTATCCTCCTCTTGAATTTCTTAAAAATCAAAATAGAAACATTTTTATGGGATGGAGTAAGTACAATTTTTATTTGATTGATGGTTAATTTAATTAAATGTATTCAAAATAGTCAAAGGGAATGAGATGAAGATGATTTTTGCTCATAATAATAAAAACATAAAAATACCCCCTCCATAATGCATCTCAATTTAATGTTTGTGGTTTGACTTTGCACAAAATTTTTAAAAAGTAAAATTGCATAAATGAAACTTGAAAGTGATGAATATAAAAGAAATTGATCATGAACCACAATTACTCAATAAGCATTTGGGTGTCCTAAATATAGGGAGTACTCCGTATCAAACTCCAATATGAAAAAATTGAGCGCTACCCATATTACAAGAAAACATATACGGAGTACTGGAGTAGTATTAGCTCAGCCCAAGTAAAGTATGTATACTTCCAAATGATCTATCTTCACCTTCTTAAACACACAACATGTTGACGTGCTCATTCTTATTTTTATAAGAATTTACTTGTGGATGACCCTGCATGCAGAAAAGAGTGTTAGGCCACATAGACAAGGAATTGTGATCTTATATATGTATTAATATAAAAAAAAAAGTGATAATCACTGATATCAAACTTGCAATTTAGCAAGTGTTCTTAATCTGCTCATACAAACAGAACAAGAAACCCCAAGAACAGAAGAAACAGATTTGAATGCTGAAGAATTGAAAGTTGAAAATGAAAAGGAGTCATGGTAGGCAGAAAGGTGTAAAAAAACTGCCTTGAAACTAGAATGAAAATATAACTCTGAAATTATGAGAGGCAATATTAAGGGGCCAGAGTAATCTTATAACATAGGCAGAAGATTACATGCTTGATGTGCGCAAGGAGCCACAAACTTATTAGTCATTACCCTCTTCTTATCAGGGAAAAAATGGCAGATTTAAATTATTTCTAGGAACATCATGATCACATAGGAAATTCTTTGAGAGGAGAAAAACTTACATCAGCTGGAGTTCTCAGAAAATCTATGAAAGCTTGAACATCTCTGGGCTCACACATTTCAGCAATTAGAGAACATAAAAAAGATAATGCCCTTCATTATTTTAACTAGGCAGAACTTTGGAATGAATGAAAATGTGCCATTACTTCTACTACTTCTGTTAGTGCCCTGTTTGGTTGGTAAGTTATTATACTAAAAACAACCTTGATAATGCCCTTCATTATTTTAACTAGGCAGAATTTTTTGACCAGCACAGATTTTGCACAGGAAAAGATCCCCTTAGATAATAATAACAAATATTTGTCTTAATTCATAAACACATTCCATTGATTCCATAATATATTTTTTACTCCATCCACATACCACAAACAACCCTAACACCATTCAAAACTCCTCTTAACAGTAAAAAAATTGAAATAAATATCAAATGTAAAAAAAAAGAAGAAATTCTATGAACAAAACAGAACTTGAAGCACCATGATAATAACCAACCATACGGGGCACTAACAGAATAGTAGAAGTCATGGCATATTTTCTTTCATTCCAAAGGCTTGGTCTTGAAAGAAAATATGAGGGAAACCCACAACAACAAACCCAAAAAAATCCCACAAGAAAATAGGGTCTAAAATATGAAGGAATCCATAGAACAAAAATGAAATGAAAGAAAATGTGGGCAAAATAACAGATATGCTAAATCTCTATTAACTGATTGTAGATGCTTGTTGAGTCAAGCCTATTATATAGAGACCTGGAAATCTTGATCTAAAGTTAAACTGGAGTTGGAGACATGCATAGGAATTAACCAGTTACTACCTAACAAAAAAATACATGGCAGGCAGGAATTTCACTTCAATCTCAATCCACTACATTTCTGCCATTATAGTAAATCTTAATATATCATCATCTCCTATCCTCAAAAATGTTGTCCCAATTAACCAACCTCTGGTAAAAGCTTATTCCCTCATTCACACCATCATCGTTTATACTTCAATTATTCAGTGCCTGCAGATCAGAAGAAAGAACTAACACTAGTCTATCATGCATGCATATATAACCTTTAATTTTCAAAGTTATATTTGAGTACTCTAGAGCTATATTTGAACAAAAGATCCAAATATGACATAACAGCTTCAAGGATAAATCGTTGCATGATGCCACCATCCAAGGGTTCATAAAGCTTTATCACTAATGCTGTAGAGTTTTCCAGGATGGTGTTGACACACATATAAGGGTTTTGGAACACCAAACTCAAGGCATTCTCATCAGCACTTGGCATAATAATCATGGCTCCTTCTATAACAAATTCTGTAAGTGAGAATGGAGAGATTTGATAGTGGCAACCAATATTCATCATACCTTCATACTGGAACAGCCTCAACTCGAATTGCGGTTGTCTATCTAAGTACTAAATGAAATTATAACTACAAAAATTGAATAAGAATGTAATAGAAAGAAGAAGAAGGCATGTAGGTCTAGAGTATAGCTTGTTGCCACATTGAATGAAGAAACAAATAAAAGTAACACTTTCTACTACATAATAAACAAAAAGCATTCTACAAAGTTAAAAAATTGAAAATGATAGATTACTATTGGATTAAAGAGATGTTCTTTCATCCTTAAAGATAATCTATAAGTGTGATTGTTTCTTACACATCTTTGATAAAAATAGGATTAATAAAAGATATGTAGAGTAGTACTTTAACTTTGGATGCTCCCCGACAATATATGATGAGGTCAATTAATCAAGTCTATTAACTAACCTAATTGACTTGGGCTCAGCTCTCAAGAGAACCTTTGTTCTTCACATCATTCAGTCTTGTATTTGGCTTTTGGCTACTCATACTATTCATTAATATAGAATCATTATTACCGAGTAATTCATTGTATATCCAACTTATCAAACTTTGTGGAAAATGGTATTTATATCAAATGTGATTCAAGTTTATGAGCATATAGACATGGCACAACTTATTTTAATTAACCAACATCTTCTGGGTCAGTCCCAAACCATTCAATTCCAATCTTTTTTATAATACAACCCCAATGGATTGCAAACTGCTCTCTAGATATGTTTCATGTTGAAATTCTACGAAATTGATTTGGATGGAATTCAGTTTCTTTTTTTTACATTGCCAATTCTAAATCTACATATTTTTGTGCTATATTATTGCATCCAATTCTAATTTTATAGTTTGAATTTCGTGTACCAAACGGAGCCTAAGGCCCCGTTTGGTACAAGGAATTCAAATTATGGAATTGGAATTGAAGACTTCAATTCCAATCCTGGTGTTTGGTAGCACAAATGTTGTGTGGATTTGGAATTGATAGTGCGAAAAATGAATTGAAATTGTGTGAATTCGATTCTATGGAATTGAATCACATGGAATCTCAATTCTAATTCAATTCCAATTCCACCAATTCCGTATACCAAACGGAGCCTAAGAGAAATTCAAAGTAGAATCTAGAAATTATTGGGAGTTCGTCTATTTTCTCACAATTTGAAACTAAATAATGGAAATAGTGTCTCTGTCTATGAAAATTGGGAAAGGGAAACCATCCATCTTGAGGTACCCAGATTATGCTAACCCTTGTTTTTCGAAGATTGAGATGAAATTTGGGAACATGGCTATCTTGAAGCTGCGAACAGACTCGACGTGCAAAGAGCAAGGAAGAAGAAGAAGACTATGTTTGGTTTGACTAATTCGAAATGGAAAAGAAAAAAAATAAAGAAATGTTTTTCTTGGTTAGAGAGAAAAATAAAATAAAAGTGAAATTCTAAAGAAAATGAGAAGACAAAATGTGTTAAGTGGAAAAAAAAATCAAATTCTTCCCATTTTGGTGAAAAAAATGAAAGAAAATTGTTTTCTTTTTTTTTCCCTTACTAAATTCTTTGAACCAAACATAGTGCTAATTTCTGGGGTAATCAGATCTGGAAGACAATCAGAGGTCGCCGCCTCGCCGGTGTAATAATGACGTCATTCCAGCGACGGAACCCGTTAAGGCATCATTTAATGGTCAAACAACTCAAACTAATGATTTTGCTAGTGATTAAATTTAGAGGTGGGCGTGATACGTACAGGGGATGTTGTTTACACTCCAATTCTTATATTGACACTCTCGAACATACTATTCACTTTGTTGAAATATTGGAATAATAATATTGATTCTTGAATTATGAAGTACATGATAGAGTATATATAAAAGAGAGTCTTAACACAACTAGGAATAGAGAATGAAGACTAACTAAAATACAACATCTACTACAAATAGGAATAAGAAGTTGACTAATAATCAAACACTACTATTATTTTTTTTATTTTTTATTTGTACAAATAAAGAGATGAGATGTGAAAAAAATATAATGAAAAAAGTAGTGGAATAATTAGAGGATGGTGAATAAAGTTAAAGAAAAGAGTGACGGTGTCATTACAAGAAGATGATGCTTGAAGGAAATTGAATAGAATGAGTAGTAGAATATAGTTTCCGAATTTAGACTCCATAAAATAATTAAGGAAGCGTGCATGTGCCAAAAACATTAATTGATGTATATATCAGATTAGAGGTATAAAAAAATCTTAATGATCCCCAAGTTTCATCCCATGCAAAAAAAAAAAAACAATTGAAAACATTGTGGTCAAACATGCTAATTGAGGTAAAAGCTAGCTAGCTGGGCCGACCAGAGCATGCATATATATATATATAGTTTGAGTGTCTTAACAAACTTGCCAAACATTTGACTTTCTTTCATATATAAACACTCCGTAGAATATATTTATAATTAATAATAACCTTAAAATGATGCCTTGAACGTGCGGGAATAAACAAAAGCTACCACTACTAGTAATACACGTTCAAAGAAGCTAATTAATTAATTAAACAGATCAGGCTTTAGCTTCCCCATATGTATATATATAGAATCTGATGGGGTGACAGGTTAATAATGTATTGTTAGTGATCTATTATTGGATGGGAGCAATAATAATGGGTTCATCAAAAGCAAACACCAAAATGATGCCTATAGTCAGTAAAGTCTATTGCTCCGTCTCCGACAAGGTTCTCGTCGTCCGCCAGCGTCCCCACGTCGTTAACGGCGGAGGGTTTGTCGTCGCTGACTCTGAGCAGAACCCTCTCTTCACCGTCGATGGCTGCGGAGTCATCGGCAAGAAGGAGGAGCTGATTGTCAGAGACAACTACGGTCCCCCTTTGCTTCTCATCAGACGAAAGGTTAATTCGCAGTTTAAAACTTCATTTTTTTCATTGTAGGCCTTGAAAGGCTTTATTTAATTACTGTGTATATTCTAACACGCGTCTCACATGCATGTATGATGCTGAGATTGGTTTTTGTTTCAATCCTTAGCTTGCACGAGAAATCTTAAATTTTAAATAATGAATGATAATAGAATTCGAGCTCGTGATCTTTTGGTTAACAAGAATTTGATATATACCATGTTATTTTTAAAATTTGTGGGTTTAAGCTCAAAAATTCCAATATTATATATACTTCATTTGTCTCAAAGCCCCTTTCTCATTGTTGGAATATTGAAATAATAATATTGCTCATTGAATTATGAAGTACATGATAGAGTATATATATATATAGGAGAAACTCCTAATACAACTAGGAATAGAGAATGGAAACTAACTAACATACAACATCTACCACAAATAGGATTAGGAAGCTGACTAATAATGAAACACTATCATAACCAATACTACAAGAAGTACTATTAGTATTATTGTCTAACATCCTCCCTCAAGCTGAACTCTGGCTGAAGCAAGAGGAAGCTTGGACACTAGCTGGAAACTGAAAACTTTGAGAAGAGAGAAGTCTGACATGCGCCGGTGGCTGCTCACGTCCTTGGAGAAGAGAGAAGTGTGACGCGCGCCGGTGGCTGCTGACATCGTTGGAGAAGAGAGAAGTCTGACGTGCACTGGTAGCTGCTAACGTCGTTGGAGAAGAGAGAAATGACGTGCGCTGGTAGCTGCTGACGTTGAAGAAGAAGAGAGAAGGTTGACGTGCGCTTGTAGCTGCTGACGTCGAAGAAGAATAGAGAAGGCTACTGGAGGTGCCTGTTTGACTAAAGATCCTTGACATTTTTTGTCTTTTTTCTTGGATCCGGGCAATGCCCTATTTCCTTCTTGAAGGGGTGAGTTGTAGAGGTCTTATTTCCTCTTTCACTACTTCCCCTCTTAGCTTTGCTTTTGTGCTGATTTACTTTAGATTTTTATTGGTTCAACAGAAGAGAAAGAGAAGGGAGGTTGATGATTAGAATGAGTGATTTTAGAGAGAAAAAGTAGGTTAAGAATTGGTGATGGAAAAAAAAATTGGGTCTGAGATTTTGATATGGTGAATTAGAGAGAAACAACAATCATTTTTTTTCCTTTTTTTGAGAAGATAGGATATTCTGAGAGAGTTTGTGAGGAGTTGGGATTTTTTTTTCATTTGAATGGAGAAGCTGATTTGAGGATAAAGAAAGAAACGAAAATAGAGGTGAATAGGGTGGAGCCGCCGTTGCCGAAATTACCGGCGGCGGCGGTGGGAGCAAAGATCTTTTTTTTAGGTCAGACAAGAGAGAAGTTCCTTCTTTGATAGTTTTTTTTGTGTGATTTCAACAAGGATTTTTTTCTTTTTTTTTTCATTTGAATGGAGAAGTTGATTTGAGGATAAAGAAGAAAAAGAAAATAAAGGTGAATAGGGTGGAGCCGCCGTCGCCGGAATTACCGGCGGCGGCGTCGGGAGCAATGAACTTTTTTTTTAGGTCACCAAGAGCGGTGGCTCCGATACCATGTTGGAATATTGAAATAATAATATTGCTCATTGAATTATGAAGTACATGATAGAGTATATATAGGAGAAACTCCTAATACAACTAGGAATAGAGAATGGAAACTAACTAACATACAACATCTACCACAAATAGGATTAGGAAGCTGACTAATAATGAAACACTACCATAACCAATACTACAAGAAGTACTATTAGTATTATTGTCTAACACTCATTTTCACAAACTTTATGGAATTTAAAAGAGAGGTAGTTCAATTTTGACTGTCCCGATTTACCCTTGATATGATGGACACAATGTAAAGGCAAGACATGATTGACAGATTAATAACGGATCGATATGATGTAATACGATGAGTAAAATTAGTAGATATAAAAGTTATTTTTTTATAAAAAGTGAAAAAACTTATTAAAATGAGGAAAAAATGAAAGTCGAAAATCTTTTATGGACCGAAGAGCATATATATCTTAGTTTGTGGAGTATTTTTATATTTTACAGAATTCTTATTTGAAAAAAAAAACTGGATTTTGGTTAGGGGGAGATAGTAGAAGTGCTGAGCATGGTGAGGAAATGGAAGGGGTACACGACGTCGTTTGAAGGATCACGGAAGCTGGTTTTTACCTTAAAAGAGCCAAACTCATGTTTCTTGAAGAACACCCCCATAAAGATTTCGATCGAATCAAAGGACTACGCCGGCGATAATCGCCGGAGTTTCACCGTCGCCGGCTACTTCCCCGACCGAGATTGTAGCATCCTTGATCCTCTCGGGACTGCAATTGCACATGTACGTTGGTTACTCACCTCCTTTAATTTAATTAATATACTCTCTCATACACTTTTTTTAAAAAAAGAGTTCCATTTCAACAAAATACAATTTTTTTATTTTAGTAATTACAGTATAATTTTAAAATATCATCAATTATTATTGCAAAAAATGATTCATTTCATATAGTATTGGCAGGGTATATTATGATAAGACAAGAACATTTTAATATTCTTATTAGGTTTAATAAACAGGTACTCATCATTATGTATTAAAGTTATCGTCC